ACTTTATCAATTCAGGTTTAATTTAATTCATGTTTACTTAACAAACTATACACAAATTACACCAAACCCTATAGTTCAATATTCACAACTTTTGAGGAGAATGTTTACGCTATCTTCTGTAAGGAATTAATACTATAAGCTGGCTTTGCACTATATTCTTTTCATAAAATCTATCATTTTAATAGTATAGCAACATGAGCGATGAGAATAATTTCAATATCTATTATTCCTTATAGATATCCAACATTATCTTTATCTACCATTCCTTATAATTTCAGTAATTCTGGAAGATGAGTTCATCTATTGTGGCTACATGATGCTTTATTTTGATGTTATTTTTGTTCGTTTTCTTTAAATATAAAGAAACAAACATGAATCTGAAAACATATATTTAAATATACTTGTTTCATGTCCAAACCATATATTCTTCAAACTTTGCCATCCAGGTTTTCCATTGTCTGGTCATCGCTACACAATATATATACAAATGTTGTGTTGGTCAATAACAGAGTTCCGTAGGCAATGAACTTGCAAAGAATGTAAAATAACTCCATATTCTGCTCATCACAAGTAAACTTTGACTTCATGTGTTAAAAATAATAAAATACTTTTGTTAAAGTGGTTTGAGTCTGTTACTTGCACCACCCAATCTAGATTTTGATTGCAAAATTGTTTGGATCCATAAATTTTTCTGAGTCACACCCAAGTTAATTTCCCATTCCAAAACTAATCAAAGGACCAATTATAAAATGAAGAAAAAAAAAAAAAAAAAAAAAAAAAAAAAAAGAAGAAGTTAAGTGCAAATGTAATAGCAATTGATGGAAAAAAACTTGTGTGCATATACAAAAATATAATTATAATTATTTTACCCTTAGTGAGTGGTATCTGATTAAAGAAGCGCCATCCTACTGGCATTTATAAGAGTTGGAGATGCCTTCAAATCCATTGAATGAGGGTTCTTCAACTAAAGAGAGATATATTACATGAATACAAATACAAAGATAAACCCAGGGAAAAGAAACCTAAACAATAAAGAAATGAAAAGAAATACAAATTCCACCACAATCAAAGCAAACCCACTTACAAAATCGAAAATAAAACCAGAGAATAAAGTAAATTGAAGCTATCTTTACCAAATCAATAATAAGATGAGTGAATCTTATAGAGGTTTCTTGTGTATTTTCCAAAAAACCCCCAAAATTCTTTAAGAGATGAAGGATCCATTACCCAAGAGCTTTTTGATTAGTGGTGAAAAAATAATGAATATTATCTTTTCAACAATGGTGAATATCTTTACATGTGAAAGATTGGTGACCAAAAAATTCCAACAAATAAATCAAAATAAGTTAAATTGAGAGATATAAAGGGGATGTCATTTAATTGCATTTGTAGTGGGATTACACTTCAAATTTAGATTAGTAAATTAAATTTATGTTTTACCAATACATAAATTAGTAAACAAAAACAAAATCTCCATAGGCTCTCAAAAACCCAATTTCGCGAGCCCAATGTCCAATATTTGTGAACCACATGGTCCAACCCACTCACAGAAAGTGGGCCCAAAAATGCAACTTGGGAAAGCCATTGTTGTTGCTAAAGACTATCGCCCACTATCACGGGCCTAGTTGCAGGCCTCCATATTTTTTTAAGTTTATTTTTCCTATACCTTCTGTCGGTAACCACCGTCTAATTTTTTAATAGGAATGTGTGATTTTATTTTTTGGCCCAAGAGTTATATATTAAAATTTATAACCTAAATGAAAAGACTTAAACACCCTCCATTTCTCTTTCTCTACACAGACCCATGATGTGGACGCCGGTGACCAAGTCGGACGATAGAGATCGTAAACAGCCACTGAGTCCGTTTAAGCACGTATATTTTTGACGTTTAGACCGTAGGGGCATTAAACATCCCCAAGCGGTGTTATCGTAACTTGTCGAAGATTCCTTCACCCAAGTCGGATGGTGATCCCAAGTCCTGTAAAGTTCAGTTCAGTCCAGCGAAGCTAGCAACGGAGGACGGCAGCTGTGATAAGAACCAGTGTCGGCCGTGGCTGTACCTCGTAGACCCAAAAAACGGTGATTGTAAGGCAACACGACAGGAAGCTCCGACCGCGGCGACTCTTTTTCCAAAAGTTGTGATATTTACTCTCTAATTGCCTCTAAAAGTAGGGTGTGATGTTTTTTCACGACTGCTATTCCAGCATGATCGTGAAACTTCAAAAAACTGGGTTTCTCTTCACCGGTGCAATCTGTTTTCGCATGCATGGAGTGTCGCCGATGTGAAAGCTTTGAGCTTGCCGAAGTGGGTTAACTTCTCTTGGGATGTTTCCGAATTGAAATTAGGTTGCTTTTAATTCATTCATCGTCAACGTCATGGCTCACTCACCGGAATCAGTTTTGAGCTTTGCGGTCTGTCACCCAAGTGGGTTTCGTGAGCTTGTTCCTTATTGTCGTCGAGAGCACCTCAATGACGGCGACGGTGGTATATATGTGTGTGTGTGTGTGTGTGTGTGTGTGTGTGTGTGTGTGTGTGTATATATCAAGCTTGGCCACGATATCATTCTCGCATGGACGCGGAGAGGTTTTAGAGATGACCGGTATATCTCACCGTCAATTGGTTGCACCTCACGTCGTTTTCTTCTTCAACGGCCACCACTATCTCAAAAAGCCACCGCAACTGCCTTTCTCAACCTCCTTCTACGACCCAACAACGTGCTTCAGTTCGATGAGGCTACAAGCGTGATTCAGTGCGGCCAAACAACAACCCATCAACATGCTTCAGTACAGAGACGCTACAAGCGTCCTCAACCCACCTTGGTGAAACCTAGTTCAAGACGGCCATGGACTCGCCAGACATTTCATTCCCACCGAACAGTCCCGCCACTAGCAGAAAAGTCGAAAATAGGTGTACGCAGTGATTGGTTAAGGGTAATTTTGTAAATTTGCATTGGTAAATGAGGTTAAAAATGTTCTTTCAAGTATTGGAAAGGCAAAATTGACCATGCTGACACCGCCAGTTGCTTAACAGTAGGGGGTAATTTGCCACATAAACGAAAACCTCAAGGAAAGTTGGTGGAATATTGAAACTTAGAGAGGGTATAAGTGGGATATAGACAAACGTCAAGGGGTGTAGATGAAATTAACCCTATTTTTTTTGTTATTTTTTTCCAACAGTGTTATTAATATTTGACTTGGGCAATGGTTTTGAGGGCCTATTTGGCGAGACCGTTGCCCAAAAACTAGTTTTTTGATTTTTTTTTTTTTTTTTTTTTTTTTTTGAGTTGGATGACACCAACAGTGCCTGAATGGCTTTATTGGGCAAAAAAAAAAAAAGAAGAAGAGTAGGTTTTCAATTTTTTTCCCTTCATAAAATGATTTTTTTCCACCTCTATAAATTCATCAACCCCTGCCACCATTCACCTCACATCAAATTTGGGCAAAAGTATAAAAAATAAATAAATAAAATATTAAAATATTATTATTATTGGAGAGCGGAAGCACACCATTTTGCTAACCAAAATTAATATTGATGTAATTCATCAAAAACGCTGATGTGGCAAATTTAGAGAGTTAGAATTTAAAGATACCATGATATGCTCTAATATACTTGGGGCAATGAGAACTTGCCATCTGTCCTATGCAATTCTGTTGTTAATTTATCTCTTTAGGTTCCATTTGGATTAAAAAATTTGAGGTGTATATTTAAAATTTACCAAGCATATAATTGGCAAGAGGATTTCTTGAAAAATTTAGATTCAGTAAATTAAATTTCTGTTTTAGCAATATGGTATAAAATAATTGGAGATTATTACATGTATAAATTCCAAATAGCAAGCTAATAAACTTAAATAGCAAGCTAATAAGCATTGCTGGTATATATATATTTTTCAAAAGATTTTTTTCTCATTTTTTGAAATTCATTCAACCATTCGACTCTACAGTAGACAACACTTTACATGCATCGCCACAAAAACAAACACCTTGGATAAACATGATATAAAAGTGATCAATTTTATTTAAGTGTAATTTACTCCAGATAAAAGGAGCATCTATATCAAAAGCTAGTTATGACGCTTGGATGGTGCTGGTGGAGGAATAGGGATGCCCTTGGGCAGCATTCCATAGACCAGTGGAGTCGGCTGAGATGGAGGTCGCCGGAAAGATGACATATAAATGGCCCAGATGGTGATGACAGAGGTATCGGCCGGTGGTTGTTGGGCAGCTTTTGGTAGACTATTGGAGTTCTCAGAGTTGGGTTGATCATCATGGTGGATATGAAACCAGTAATTTTCTGGCATTTAGTAAGTTGATGGTTGAGCTCCAAATTAAAGTGATCAGAATCATCACTAACAAATCATGTTTAGCTTTCACCATTTTTTTTTAACTTGATCTCAAGCAATGTAAGAGTGATATTTTTGTTGTGCTTTAAATAATTAACAAGATGAAAGATATTAATTAATTTAGTGATGCATGTAGTTGGCACCAAACAGCAAACAATGCCCTAAATGGCTTTCTTAAGGATACAATAATTTTGTATTTAATCAATTGTCATGCCAAAGATACACCTATGTTTATTATGCAAAGCTCATAATTTCTGCAAGATGAACTGTTAAATCTCTTACTGACAACGATGGTATCATGGTGAAAACGCATGCATATCAACATCAAACAAATGTCACAACAATTTGATTTGGATCCTCTTATGTATCCTCCACATTCTTTCTTTCTTTCTTTTTCAGCTATTATTTACAATTAAGAAAATGCATATCAAAATATTTAAATGTATAGTTAAAATATATATATATATTTTCTAAAAAAGAGTCGAATGAAAAATAAATAAATAAATAAATAAATAAAATGAAAAATAAAAGAAACTAAAAATAAAAATAAAAATGCAATCTGTGACTTTCTGAGTGAGTGTTATGTTGCCAAGCAAGTAAACAACAATTTGGATAAATATAAATAAAATTATTTTATTTATTTGTAATAAGCGATTGTTACATAGATTGAAACACTGGTTTCTTGTATTTTGTTGATTTTGTAGGCCTAGCAGGTGGCTGAGATGGATTAAGCCCACTTAGGGGATAATGCCGTAAAGATGGGTTGAAGAACCCAAATTGAGCCACAAACTCCTTGTATATTTTTGGGAATTTTGTAAGCCCGGAAAGTGGCCCAGCTAGATTAGGACCATGTGGGACGTTATGAGCTAGTCTAGCTGGTGGCGGGGCTGGATTACTTTCTTGATTAAACCCATTTGGGATATTATAGTCTGAACTAGATGGTGGCCCAGCAGGATTAGGCCCACGTAGAACATTATGGTCTGAAGTGGTCTGTGTAGATGTACCTGATGGGGGCAGATAAAGGCACAAATACCCGGAAGTTTTCTGAATTTGTAGGCCCAACTGGTGGTGGCTCAACTGGATTAGGCCCGTGTGGGACGTTATGGTCTAGTCTAGTTGGTGGCGGGGCTGGATTACCTTCTTGATTAGGCCGACCTATGACATCATGGTCTGGACCAGATGGGACTGGATTACCTTTTGGATTAGGCCAACTTTGGACATTATGGTCTGGACCAGATGGAGGCCCAGCTGGATTAGGCCCATGTGGAACATTATGGTCTGGACCAGATAGAGGCCCAGCTAGATTAGGCCCGTGTAGGACATTATGGTCTGGACCGAATGGAGGCCCAGCGGGATTAGGCCCATGTGGGACATTATGATCTGGACGAGATGGAGGCCCAGCGGGATTAGGCCCGTGTGGGACATTATGGTCTGGACGAGATGGAGGCCCAGTGGGATTAGGCCTGTGTGGGACATTATGGTCTGGACCAGATGGAGGCCCAGCTGGATTAGGCCCATGTGGGACGCTATGGTCTGGAGTGGTCTGTGTTGATATACTTGATAGGGCAAATAATTAAAGGCACAAATACTCAAAAAATTTCTGAATTTGTAAGCCTAACTGGTGGTGACTCGACTGGAATAGGTCTATGTAGGACATTATGGTCTAGAGTGGCTTATGTTTGGACAAATGAACTAGTGGTTGTGCCTGAAACTAGAACGAGCACAAGGGTTGCTAACAATAACTTCTGGTGAGCTTCCATGTTGGTTTGTATCAGGTTTGGCTTTGGTATTTTGCTATGCTCCATTGGCCTTTAAATACTTACTTTAGTAAGGCAAAATATTGCACACCCTATTCATTACATGAACATATAAGGTATATGTTACCATTTCTTACCTGATTTCAATAACCCTCAATAGATACATATAAAGACAATGTTATTTACTTCTATGATTTCTATAATCTTTGCTTTTGATTATTAATGAAATTCAAGTATGTATAAGGAATGCCATTTAATCATATATAATAAGAGACTCAATTCAAATTATCAAATTTACTAAATCTAAATAGGGATGTCAATTTTTACTGCCCCGCCGGGGTCCCGTCCGGTCCCGCCTCATTAATAACGGATATGGGAATACTTTTTATACCGTTGGGGCGGACATAGATACAAATTTTGTACCCGTCGAGGGTCACGGGGCGGGTAAGAGTTCAGTATACAAATCCTAGGGGCCCCGCCCCGCATATAACTATATATATATATATATATATATATATATATTAATAAGTTATTTTAGCGGCTTACCCAATTACCCATCTCTTACAATCCTAATTTGGGATGTAAACTTGGTATTAAATTTGCTTTTGTTTTGGTTATGGTGGAACTTAGAACTTAGAACTTCTTGTGATTTGGTTGTATTAAATTTTTATTTTTGTTTATTATGTTCTCTGAATTATGTTATGTGCATGTTATTTTTTTATTTTTGTTGGGATACATAATTTTATTTATGTTGTGTCATTCCTATGCTTTGCACATTTAAATAGCCGGAGTTTAAGTTCCAAAAAGTGGGAGAAAAAAATTTGTTAGCGGGGCAGGCATGGGGCACAGTATTTCCTAACGGGGCAGGGCTGGACATGAAAATCCAACCGTCACGGGTCTCGGGGCGGACATGAATTTGACAAAAATTAAAAGGGACGGAACGAAATTTAGGGAAACCCGCTCCAAACTCTCCTCGTTGCCATCCCTAAATCTAAAGACATAGAAGGGATTTCATTTATTCCATCGTGCACTATCTCGTGTCTACTGTCGCCACATTTTTATGACATAGAAGGGATTCATGATTCACGTGTTGCCACGTTTTTACCTTAAAAAAAATGCTAACGAAAAAAAAGAAAAAAAAAAAAGGTCTACACCAGATATTGCAAACAAAAAGAAAAATTTAGGCATCCTAACAAAAACTTTAATGAATTTATGAAAACAAAAGGAGAAACAAAAATTTTAACAAAAATTAATTCAAATTAAATCCCAAATTGTAGAAATATATAATAAAATAAGGAGATCTAATACAATTAGAAGATCATTATTTCTATATATGATAATGGCTGTGTTGAGAGTATGCATATAATAGTTAGTGTACTGATTTAATTATTTATGCATAGATCATTAATATTTCTACGCGATGAATAATTTAAAATTTTATAACAATAATAATAAAAATGCACGAATTAAGATGCAACAAATGCAACAATAATCATGGAATACAAGCGCTCAAGCCCATGGAAAAATAGTAGAGAGCGATGAAATGATGATACATAGAAGTATCAAAAGATCTCTAACACACACACACACACACAAAATGCTTTAGATTGTTAGAAATTTTGTGGCAATTTTTGTTTTTATTTTTTAACTTCAAATATTAGAACATTATAACAAAAACAATTCCTCATATCATATTTACTAAAACAATGAAGAAAACAATTGAAAGGTCTACAAGCATGTTAGATGTATCTTGTAATCTAGCAAGCCTTCAAGCATGTTACGGCTGGCCCAGATAGCCGAACTGGGCCCTATATTTTGGTGCGCTGAAGGCCCAAATGGATGACTGGCCCTTTTGGAATCATTGGGTGGGTAGAATTGTAGAAATGGGGTGTGGAATGTAGATGTGATGGCCCAAATGGAGGCGCATGCTAATGGCACCGTTGCAGCTCAGTGGTCAAAATAGTTGGAGCCCAGACGAGTTCTATCGGGTAAAGCCAATGATTAGAAACATGGACTCAATGAGACTCACACAGTGTCTTCAATCTATTCTCAAATTTTTTACATAGGACATCGAACATCAACATTTGACATCACTTTAGTGAGTCATGTTGAGAAATTAATTAATTATTTTGATAAGCAGAGCTGAGGATGCGGGATGAATTAGAGTATGTTCTCATGTGCAAGAAATGACCTATCACATATGCGGACCAATGGGTGCACCATTGTGGAAAAATTCTCTCTTCCAACATCTAAAGACTTGGCCTATGCTCCATTGCCCTTTAAATAATTCATAACATTTTGAAATTTCAAATACTAAACAAGTAGGTACTCCTCAAATATTCAATATTTTTCTGTTTTATGTACCAATTAAGCAAATATATTTTGCCATTCTTCACCATGTAAATATAAACTGAAATTAAAAGTATTATATACATTGCACATACAGAAAACACCAACAATTAAATAAAATTAACATTTCAAGAATTAGTCATTTAACTAATTAAGGATATATATATATATATATATATATATATATATATATATATATATACCTGATTAATTAATTAAAGAGGTTCATCGGGAACAAGTTGCTTGCACAATTCAAAATAAGTGAGATAAAGAACACGATCTTTGGCACCCGTCCTATGATTCTTCGTGTGCTTGCAGAAGTACTTCAATTCAGCAAGTTTGCAACATCCAAGCATTTGCCCTAACAACAAGAACAACCAGTTGATCGATTTCTTCTTCGAAAGAATTGGCTTCACACAATTATTCTGCCCACAAGAGCTGCAATCCGGTAGAACCGGGTTCATCCAAATAGTCGGTGCGCGGTCGTGCATTAAATGCTTGTTCTTCGATATAAATGTTGCAACTTCCATGAACTTTTTTTCCAAATCAAATTCAATCTCATATTGTTCGTCACACCTCTTGCATTGCACTTCGCCACTAATGTTGTTGATGCCATTTGACATGAGATGGTCCAGACTATGGACCGTGGCACGCTTTGTGGTGGCCCAAGGGTATGGTGCAGCTATGGTGTCACTCTTCCCCGGCCCAAGGGACCGGACCGGGGACCTTCTGGTGCGCGACAATCGAGATGGACCGGCGGCTGCATCTTGATGGGATGTGGGAGGTTGGAGTAGGATATTAGTGAGATGAGGAGGGGGTGGTAGTACAAGTGACTTTTGTGGTGGACGTGGTGGTGGTGACAATGTTAACCATGTTGGTTGTTGAGGTAATTTTGATGATGATATAGAAGGAGGAACATTTTGTGGTGGTGTTTGGACATGTGAACTAGGAGCCATTGTTGAGAGTGAGAGGGTGACGGACTCCTCATCTTGGTCATAATCAAGCTCTTTTAAAGAAGAAGATGGAATATTCTTCATGGGGGTATTATTATATATATTTATTACAGAGAGAATTAATGGAAGGAAAGGGGAAAGAGAGAGACAAGGATGAGTGGAAGACAAGAAGAGAAGAAGGTATGTGTAGAGAGAGGGACAAGAGTGACTGATGAAAGAAGTCTATTGTGATTGGAATTCCTTGGTTCAAAAATTGAAAACTAGTAGATGCGTAGAGATTGACAAGAGAGAGAGAGAGAGTGAGTGAGTAATGAAGAAGTCAACAATGGTTAGAATCTTTAAATCAAAATTCAAAAAATAAATATCTGTAGGATATATGATACTTATCTTCTTTGGTTCCTAACAACTTTAGTAGTAAAATTCGGATCTCCCAACTCCCTACGGAAACCCTAGCCAACAAAACTGCCAATGCACCCCATGTAACCCTAATTTATTTACTGTCCCCCACACAACCATAGTTCATACATGTATGCTTATTGTCTATTTCCAAAGACAGATTAATTAGGTTCCACCAAAACACTATGGAATGATCACTTTGAATAAGTATCCACTTCATATTGTACTTTTGTTTGGACGTAGATCACCAACCGACCTTAGCTCAGTTGGTAGAGCGGAGGACTGTAGTGGGTTAGAGCTTATGGCAATCCTTAGGTCGCTGGTTCGAATCCGGCAGGTCGGAATTTTTTGTTCTTATTTATGCATATATATTTCTACTTCCTTTTTTTATTTATGCATATATATTTCTACTTCCTTTATTTATTTATTTATTATTTTTTTGGAAAGTAACTTCTACAGTTCTACTCCTTTTATTAGACTGGTGTATTCTTGATCTCTAATAAATTAAGCCAGCTCGTAGGAGCGAAATGACATTTCAGGCCTTCAAATTATACATTCTTCATATAACTTTTTAACATTTCATTGATACAAATCCTAGTGAAATTTGTGGCCCCTATATGATGGATGCTGAGCGTTCTATCTTAACTGTACAATAATGTGGCTTCGCCATGTTTACTTGCTTTCATGATTGGAAGAATTTGGTGGATCCGTCTTTCTATCACAATTTTAGGATATTTTTTGTAAAATTTTTCTCAGTCGTGTTCACATATAAGGTCACATTTAGGGACGAAGAGTCAGTGAAGGCAATTGGCCCCACTAAATTTTTTATTTTTTATTTTTACTACTATATATCATTAATTTTTCTTATTTTCAATTATATATTTATAAAATTTTCACTTTGCCCCACTCTAAAATTACAAATATATATATATATATATATATATATATATATATATATAATACTAAATTCACTTTTACTCTCCTCCCACAACTTCCTGAATCAGTCCTTGTCACATTCTCAATAATTGAATTGAAAATTTGTGAGATGTAATCTGAGAGACAAACTCATAGCGAGAGCACTCCTTTTTGTTTTTCGTATCACCCTTTTCCTTTTTCCTGATTAGCCTAAACTTGGTACATTAAGGCACAAGGGTATGGCACATATCCTTTATAAATGCAGTTTTAATAAATAAATAAATTATTATTTATTCTTGATAGTTCATGGCTCACATGATTTTTTGTCTGTGGTAAGCTTTTCTTTTGTCCCCTTCTTGCACAATGTTTCAAGTCAAACCAAAATAGAAAGCAATTTGTTAAATTAAATTTGAATTCTCTGAAAATTTTATTGAGTTTGAAGTAATCTGTGCATCTGTCAGTGAAACTGATGTGCTAAGGCTTTGGATTCTATTTGAACCCTCAATTAATAACACTGGTCTAAACTATATGAATATAATATGAAATAATGAATATAATTTTTACCCAACGATCAGAATTTTACGACTTCCCAAACAGCCTCCCCCAGAAAATGTGTTGGGAAGAACACAGGCGTGGCAAATATTAATCAGAATAGTCTTTTATCAGTTTTTAATAAATAGTAGCTCATAAGAAAATAATAATAATCATAATAATAATACCACATGAGTCTTGGTCCATAACTATACTAGAAGTCTAGAACTAGTTAAAATTTAAGAACCATTCACTTCATTCTAACACTTCATGTACACTACATTTCAGCACTGCAACACACAACCTTGGGTAAATTTTTGCACTGCTCTAATTTCTTCTCATGCACCAACTCCCTTGTGTTGTTTCTTGACTTCTGCATAACTCGAGCCACCAATCGGGGCAGAAGATGACATTGCAGGCGTCCACAGCTGCGCACTCTTCACCTTTGACACGCTCGCGAGGACTCCCAATGGCGTGACATCCCCGATAACTGTTACCTTCTTAGCTGCAAAGTCTATGTTGAAGGATGTCACCCCTGCTCACAATTGTAATAACAAAAGTTAGTCTTTTTCCTAGTAAAAAAAACAACAACAATTACCTTATGTCGTTGAGGAGTTTGGAGAGGGTGAGATGCATGCACGTTTATTCTTTATTTTGTACATATATAATGTTTTTATAGTAAACATGACCTTATTTTATTTATTTATTTATTTTTTTTACATGATCAAGTGACAATAAGGTGCAAAAGTGAGGCAAGTGTTATTTAAGATAAGGTCATGATAAGAAAACAAAGAAGAGGCTAAGGAGTGAAATGCATACCTTTCATTCTAGAGATATGTTTTCTAACTTTTCCTTCACAGCCCTTGCAGTGGAGTGATACCCTCAAAACAACCACCTGTGAACAAAGCCATTAAAATCACACCCACCGCCCATTAGGCCCACCTCTGTTTTCTTTATTATCATCAAGAACCAACATTTAAATTAATGGACTTTATTTTTGATTTCATGATAAAAGAGATCAACTTTCACAGAAAGAAATGTGATTCAAAAAAAGCCAAAATGAACACCTGTACTTGTACTAGAATGTACAATAGACTATAAATCAATGAACTTTTTTTTTTTGATTTCATGTTCCTTATCATTTGATTTAGATTTTAAAATTCGAAGATAGACAGATACCTTTTCATCTAGCATTCAATTATCACAGTGACCCTTCTTTCTTTTCTTTTTTCAAACTATGGATCTGTTTTCGCTATAAATAAAAATACATAAATAAATAAACCAATTAATTAATAACAATAATTGATGTCAGCTTTTTATCCTAAAAATCTCTAATCTGCAATTGCATCCACTTCATGAATGTTCAAACAACAATTTACAATTTTCCCATAAAAAAATACAGAAATTAGAGCAAAAAATTTATTATTATTTTTTTATTGTCAATTCAGAAGCTCTTGTAAAATTTATACATTACTCCATAACAAAGAAAAAGAAAAACAGTTATTCTAGCCGTTTTAATCTATAGTCACTCACACACTTTCCTTATAGACTAATGCTTTGATGGTAATATTCAAGTTAAATTACCAATATAATCTAACAAACTGACAAGACACTTAGCTGGTGGTACTCACATACACAGACACAGATGGTTTTATGTGAACATATATATATACACAAATATGTATATATTTATAGGAAGAGAGAGAAAGACAAAGAAAAACCTGATCAGAGGGTGGTTTTGAAGAAGAGGATTCCTCTGTTTTCACATGATCATGAGCTTGAGACCTGTTGTTATTTTCCACTGGAACCAATGCTAAAACAGGGTCAAAATTGTCTGACAACACATCCAAGAAGGTTGTTCTATCACCCAACAGGTACCTTGTAGAAGCAGGAGGGCTGATAAAATCACCAGGCCTATTAACGCAGCTCTTCCTCAGAATGATACTCTGCTCACTTGGCTTAGCACAACCCTTTTTCTTCTTCTTCTTATTGTCATCATCACTTGGTGGTTTCGATGAGCTCTTCTTGGAGCTCTGATGATTATCATTATTTGCCTTGAAGATGCTGTTTTTAGTACTCTTGATGGCATGGTGGTGGTGGTGATGATTAGTGGGGTTGAGAGGTTTTGGCGTAATGGGTAGTTGAGAAGAGCAAGGAGGGAGCGATTTGGTGATTCTTTTGGGGTCTCTGATGATGGGATTGTGGCGGTCGATGGCTCGGCCTAGGTGGATGGTGGCGGCGGTGGCGGTGATGGAGGAGGAGGAAGCTTCGTCCATGGTGGAAGCACGTATGGCGGTTGCAGCTTGGGATGCGCAGAATATATCGATTCCTCTCATGTTTGAAAAGTGGGAAATGAAAGCAGAGTAATAATGTTTTAGAGAATCTGCATTTCTTCAACTTTTAGAGAGAGATAGAGAAGAACTCACCAGCAAAGTTGTTCCATCTGCTTTTAAGCTCGAACACTTGGAGTTGGAGAGACAGAGGTGAGTCAATTATTTGACTGTTACTTGTTCAATTTTGTTAAATTGTGACACCTAAAAAGTAAAAAAATTATGTAACAGAAAAAATTCAGCATTAGAGAAAATGTAGTGATATTATTTAGTGACCTAGTTGATAGAGAGCCTAGCCTACCGAACAGATGTGTTCGTGTTCGAGTTCTTAGAAACATGGACCTGTTGAACAAAATATTCTTATTATTACAGTAGAAAGCAAATTCTTGAAGTGTGAAAGAACAATTGATTTTTACAGTAGGAGGATCAATAATGGGCAAGATTCTCTGAGAATTTCTGGGACAATTCCTTATAATGCGTTTGGCGCGATTATAAATTCTATAAGATTAAAATTTAATCTGCAGATAACCAAGAAGGGTTTAATGGTTTTATATATAAACTTCAGAGGAAGTGTGTCCAAGAACTGTAGTTTTGAACCAGAATCAGACAAAGCAACGGTTAAATATTCAGTGACAACCTGCTGTGCTGAATTTATGGTACAGTCACGACATTTCAAGGAAGGCTCCAAAAATGTGGAACACACAATGTATTCTATCAAACATCTTTATTGAATCAGTAATGATAGAGATGGGGAGTCTGACGGTTCGAGAAATTAGACTAATATTACGGGAGTATATGTTAATTTTTTTTTTCGATAAATAAGAATTTTGATTCTTATTGGCTTTGTTAAAAAAACCAAAAAAAAAAAAATCTTGTTAACGGTATGATTTTCAAATTCCATTAGCATAACTACTAGCCACGACTGAATTGAGGTATGTCCTACTTCTTAATTACGCTTTGAAGTTGGTACTTGAGGGCACATTCAATTCAATTTTATGTTGCTTTCAGTAATAACTTCTTGCAGTGCCCTGCAAGTTTCAATTGCTCATCAATCAGCTTGAAACATTATTCACAGCTAATTCTAAGTTCTGAAAGCAACTTAATTCTTACAATCTTACTATAAAAAAATAAATAAATAAAGGAAAACTTTAAAGGTATCGAGAGTGAGCGATCGACTCAAAGACATGAAGTGTGTGCTGTGGTGGGCTCACACATGTCTTTCAGTTAGTTGTCGTCTCTCGACAATTATATCAAGATTCGTATAAGTATACATTTCTCTATTTTTCAGCTCAGTTCTCATATGAATTTCTAGCCAGCTAGGTAAAGGACAATTACTTGGTGCTAATCACACCTACACAAACAATTATTAAAAAAGACAAGAAATAACCGTAACGTGTAGTATTATTTTATATAAAAGTGGACATTTTTGTATTTAAATTTGTGTCCTTAAACTTGTCAACCAAATTTTTTACCATTAGCAATGTTGGTTGTAAAATTATATCGAATCTTGCAACCCATGTGAATGTAACTCTAATTTATGAGTGACACACGTAAAATGTATGGGGTAGTTATAATGGATTAAAATACCATATACTCAATGAAAAGTAAATGAATAATGATAGGGAGACCGGTGAATTAACCTGAATAAGTATCGAATCTGACGTGTTTTTGTCCACCTCATTTACTTAAACAATTTTTAAAAAATAATTGTTTAACACATCATAAAAATGACCAACCACATCAAATTCGATATTAATTCAGAGATTCCTTTTCAATTCCTCTATCACTACTCAAAGTAAATAACTTAAAAAAAGAAAAGAAGTATACAAAAGGCAAAGAAAGAAAATGTTATATATAATAGTTGCAGGTCATAGAAAGGGCCAAGTGTACCTTCAAATTTGCTTTAGGGTTGGGCGGTCCAATTGTACGTGCATAGGGACAAAGCTATGTGCAACTTTAAAGCTTCTAGAATGAGAGAACATTTGTGGAATTGTATTCTGATTCTCAAATGAGCAATAATAATGTTGCCCATAACACAAAACTATATACTAGATTTTTATTTCCTTTCCTTTGGATGAATGAGACACAAGGTCACTTTGCCAATCTATCCCATTGATTGAGTCAAGTTCTACACCACAAATTTATGGAATCTGATGCTTATATATATATATATATAAATGTAAATATTTGCACATATATATATTCTTGTATTCTTTTTCTTTATATCACTGCCAACCCATTCCATCATTCAAGAGTCCCAACTCAAGACGATTCCTTTATTCGTGATATTTTGTGCTTTGTCGATATGCAATCTGATCCCTTTCACTTTCCCAAACATTATTAGTATACAAATTATTGTGTTGATTAGGGCCATGGGTCGTTACTGGTCAAGCTCAGATAGAGAGAGAGGGATATTTATTTATAAGAGAGATCGATATTTGTGTTTGCTTTTTCATTTGCTTAATAAAGTGAATTTGCTTTAAATAACCTCTGACTTTTCATATGTCACTACCTCTTTGGTTCCATGGAAAATGCAGGAAAAAAGAAAAAGGAACTACAGCGACCCCTGTAACATTATTTAATTTTTTTATTAAAAAAAATGCATTTACGATTAATAATTTCCTCTTCTGATATTATCATCCTCTTTGTTTTAATCATATAAATGAAATTAGTCACATAATTTATTTTTTATTATTATAAGGCATCTCTCATAGTATAAAAAATAATAATAATATTGTCCTGTTTTGGTTGCTCTATAGGGAGAGCAAAAAGTCGACCACAGTGGGAGTCGAACCCACGACCTTCTGATCCGAAGTCAGACGCGCTAATCCACTGCGCTATGCGGTCTTGTTGCAAAGGTTTTCTATTTTCCATATATTATACCGTATATCTCTAAGTTTTCCAACAACTTTAGTGTCGGCAGCAACTTTTTGCTTTCCACGTATGATGAGTCCTTCTCATGCATATCTAATGGTTCAAGTTTCCTTCACTCCTATTCGTGAACTTAAGTCCCACTGTGCACACACACACACATATGTGTATATATATATATACTATATAGTTCTCATTATGCTCCTCTTGTATCATATCCCCCGATCCCCGTGAAAGAAGAATTAGAACTTGACCAGTGACCACGCATGAGGAGTCCAACTTAATATATTACGGTTATAGATAACATAACGATTTTATGACTTAAGCCATTAAATTTGATAAATCTCATATATATATATATATATATATATATATATATAGAGGGGTGGAGTCAAAAATTTTAATTTAGGAGAGTCGAAGTTAAAAAGACTCTCGTTATTATAGAGTTGGGGTGAACTAATCTTATGTAATTAAATATTGAAATATTAATTAATCAATCACAATAAATATATATTTTTTACAATATTATTCTTGTTAATGAATATATTGAGCAAAATAAAATCCAAAAATAATAAATTAATAGCCTAATTAGTTATAAATGAAATGAAATATAAATATATATATATATAAGATAAAATGATAAGTTGTGAAGAAAAAACATTGTTCAAGGTTAAATTTTATTTAACAATTGTTTTAGTTTGTGAAATTAAAAAAATTATTACTTTGATTTCACTTTGTGACAGCGTGTCATTCTTAACTTAATAAAATATTAAGAGAAAAATATAACATTTTAATCAGCAAAACACACTTAGCATGACCAACGGGTTAGTGACTTAGCGATATCAGTCCCTTACTTCCCAAAGAGGATCAGGGGTTCAAATCTTAAAGGAGACAAATGTGTGTAGGTACCAACTAGAAAAAAAAAAAAAAAAAATCTAGTATTAACAAATTAAAGAAATGCTAAGAAAAATATATAATATTTTAAATAAACAAAACACAATTAGCAAGAACTAAATAGAGAAGTGCTAATATAAAATATAATATTTTAATTAAACAAAACATAATTAACTAGCAGGAACAAAATATAGAAGTGTTTTAATAACTTATTTAAAAAATAGTTAGAAAATATGTCATCAAATAAATGACAACTAAAAATATTAACATATATAATGATATTATTTTTATTGACATTCTTGTAATCTTGGTATGATAATATTTTAATTTTTATTACTTCGCATGAAACGACTGACGAGTTATGTATTTTTATTAAATATTACGAGGAGACATTAATGAAATTTTTTCTTCTAATTCTTGAATTCATATAATGACTATTATAGTTGTGTATATGTAAGTGTAAATGTAAATAAAACAATCATATAGTAGTAAAAACTAAAAACAATGAATTTATTTTTTTGTTGGACAAGATTTGAGCTCAAATTAAAATTTTATATGAGTTTTGAGATGACACAAATTAGTTTTATTCGTAAATTCATAATTATTGGGGCAAATAAATAAACGCTTTGGAAATTTTTTTATGAGTTTTGGGGTTATAAGTAGAGGTATTTATATAAAATAATAATTTATATCGGGTTTTTAAAAATAAAAATAAAAAAAAAAAAAAAAAATTGAAAATCCAGAGCTTTCTACCAAGTACCATATTAGGGTTTAAATTTTTTACCAATGCACCAAGTATAATATAAGTACATCACAAGCCCAGACCTAATTTATTCAATTAATATAATCAAATGTATAGCATATATACACAGTACACCGCGTGGATAGTTGAAAGAACATCAAATGCCAAACCCTATCAACATAAACAAACAATCAGAAACCAACGGGCCAGTGGCTTATCGGTATGCCGGTACTCAGCCCCTACTTTCCAAAACAAGGTAAGAGGTTCGAATCTCAGCGGAGACGTGTGTGTGAGTACCAGTTGAAAAAAAAAAAAAAAAACAACCAGAACACCTATAACAAATGTCACACAAATCAAAATTACTGTAATTGGTCCATACTCTTCACAAAGATGATCTTATACCATGGCGTGTCGAAAACTAAACAAGATTAGAAGTGGACGCAAACGTTTATTTAGATATATACTATTTGAGGTTACTAGGTAATCACTTTCTGATCTTCTGGCAGTGGAACACACTGCCATCCTGTACAATGTTGTAGAACATGTTTAAGATCATTCGACGGAGCTCCCACCGTCCATGTGGGGTAGTATGCACTAGGATGGAACACACTATCTTCATTGGCCCGGGTCAACAAACCGGATTGAGTTCCGCTTACAAACAAGTCCCCCTCAGATATCATGCTGCCAGTACTTGCCTCTTCTTTATCAGCCGCCTACAGAAACATAACAAAAACGAAGCTTAGAGACGAAAAGCTTCTTAAGTCACAATGGGTATGGGCACAACTCAAAAATTATAAAATGATTAGAATTCTATTGAAATGATCCACGCTATGGAGTACCATTGTTTTGATTCCATATCAGAAACAGATAGACACCTTAAGCAAAATTGAATAGATACCTAGCATCGGCCTATAGTATAGTGGACATAGCTGTTCAAAATTACCAAGGGTTGCCTACACAAATCTTTGTTTACCAACTTTGGTTTATCTAGGGCCATACAATCATTTTTGAGGCCCTTATAGAAGAAGAAAAACACAACAAACCAATAGCAGCCAAAACTCGATGAAAAAACATCAAACCTACACGAGTTATTTGCAAACTCATTGAAATTTAGAATCAACTTCATTGAATATAGGTTTGAAAACTTAAGGGCGGAAAAAGAACAAAATTGTAAACCTCACTGGAAAGCAATCATTTATGAAGGCAGCGGCAGAATAAATCTCCATGGTTCACTCCTTTTATCAGAATGTCATCACATTTTGTCCTAAAATTAGAAGGCAGCAGCTATTTCCACTCTTGTCCCATAGTGGTAGGGTCCCTATATGAACATGAAGGCAGAAGTATCTCCACCGTTTCTTAGCCATTTGGGAAAAGTAAGTAGACCAAGAAAACTTCAATTCCACTTGCTCTGGAAAGGTACCCTAGCGGTCCAGAAAGTCGGCTTTTGGAAAGACTTTTGCAGACATGAACTAGATGTGCAATACATCACTCTAGTTCACAAACAGGATCAATAAAAATCTCCATGGATTTCTAAATCTGCTGGTTCTCTTATATTTCAAAGCTGCGAACTTGGAGGCCTATTGGTTCCCAAAACATATTAAACCTGGAGGAAATACCACTAATGGGTGTTTATTTACCAGTAGAAAGAGTTAGCATCTCAAAGGAGATGGTTTGCCAGTTCTTACCCTTTTCCTGAAAGAACCACTTTTATTGTCCCGTTTTTGTTCATCAAAGCAGTGATGCAGATGTTTGGCAGCTTTATATATTAAAATTATGCACCAAACACATATACCCTGCTTCTAGTTTACCGCTATTATTTTCTTCTAGCAACAATAATATGAATGTCATCTAACATGATGCATGAGTTAATTGAGTGTTTCATATCAGCATATCCCAGTAATACCCTGCAGATTTGCATACTCAACAAAGGCCCGCTATTCAACCATAGAGTCATATATGTTAGGGAAATCGGGGGGAATGCATTTTTTTTTTAGCTGGCCAAGTGCATCAGTCCTACCGAAACAAAAAGAAAAATATGACCTCAGCTTAAACAAAACATCCAATTTCTCTAAAATAGTTTAATTGCACACTTCCTTGGTTCCTTAGGATGGTTTTTCTTCCAAATTTTTGCCTGCTTAAATTGTCAAATTAATTAAATTTCTCAACTTACACTACATTTTGCAGGAATTAGTTGTTCACTCTGATTTTCCTAGACTTCTTTTTCTAGTATATTTCTATGTTTTAAAACCAAAAAAAAAAAAAAACACAAATTATTTACAAATTTACTAATTTTTGACCGTTTCTATATTAGGATTTCGGTCACATGAATCTGATATACAGGGGCCTAAATAAACAAGCATGTATAGATTACTAAATGTCATGTGGATCTCAAGTGCAAGTAAATGCATCCATGTTTACAGCCTAGAATCATGGATTTCAAATAACACATAGTGAGGTCTTTTTCTCAAATCCATTCCTCATTTGAGCTCTAGCCATCAACTCTCAATATGCAACCCTAACATTTTTCTTCCTCTCCATCTCTACATCACTCAGAACACTCTCTCCTATTGTCCTTAACCCTAACAAGGAATTTTAATGTGAGTTTCCTGCCATAAGTTGAAAATTTTCTTAAAATCCAGTAAAATTTTACCATAAAAATATTAGAACTGAAATTATAACAAAAAGAAGAAACTGCATTAGCATATATAAACCATAACTACTAATGCCATGCGTAAAGTTTAGAGCTGTAACTGTGAAACGTAAAAGTAAAAAATGAAAAAAAATACCTTCTCTGTGAGATATTTAAAAGCCACCTTCTTTTGTCCTGCTTCATAAATATTGCATTGTGAATATATCTGAAGTCAAAAATTATAATGATAATTAATAAGTGGCATAGTAGAAGGTACTATCTTTAAAACCTTAACAACATTAAATCAAAAATATATATTTCTGAAGAAAGCATTGAAACCTGTGATTCTACACTGGCACAAACAGCATAAATGCCCCAGTTTCTGGTGTAATTATTGTATAAATGTACTTTCCCAAACCTAACACGAGGGTGGCGCTGTCGAGTACCATCAAAAAAGCAATGGTGAATGGTCACCCGCATGCATCTGTCACCAGTGTGAGAAGGGTCTGCTCCAATGAGAATTGTCTTGTCATGCCGTGAAAAGTGACATCTGAATACAAAGATTTGACAATCAAAGACATGGATAAAAAAACAAATTAGGAATTTCCTAATGGTATAGATAAGCTAACCTAGAAATAGTAATATCTGTGCTCTCCCGGGTGATATCTATCAAACCATCATCAAAATCACGAAGGCTGCAACGGTCTATCCATATGTGCTTTGAATTAGGTTTAATTTGAATGCCATCAACATCAGGTCCTCTACCACCTTCAAACTCTAGATTGCATACAATTACATGTTCACATTCCTTCAACCTCAAACCTTTCCCTGTGAGTTTGATTCTTTTGCCCCGCCCATCAATGGTCTTATAAGATGACACACTCAAATAAGATGAGAGCTTAATGGTCCCTGCAACTGCAAAGACAATCCACAGAGGTTCTTTTTTGCGACATCCAGCACGAAGTGATCCTGGCCCATCATCTACATTCACATAGAAATGGTGTCAATCTTATCAAACACAAAATACAGAACTCATCATAGAACTTTAAAAATAAAATAAAACAAAATAAAAATTCCCCTAAATTTCCCATACTAAACAAGAATTCAAGTTGTCAGCGGACCAATATGATGTTTAAACAAATTATAGTCAAAATATAAAAGCAGCTTTGGCAAATCAACAAACAGCAATATTTAACAAATTCATCTACACCAATTAAAATTCAACACCGTAAACCTTCAACAAATTAAATATGTTTTCAACTAAGAACATTCAAAATACAGGTAAAGTGGTATGCAAAAAGATTATACCTCCAAAACCATCCTACATATATTATTTATCAAGCATAAGTATGCTTAAATTTTTTCTTTAAACACCATGACTGAACATGAAACATTTGCAATACCAATTGCAGCAATATTTCAACCATATTAAACTAGTAAGTTAAATCCCATCAAAACCCAAATTCATATCAAAGTAATTCCCAATAAAACATAACAAATACCTATACCTCTCAAGCCACTCACATTCAAATGTGCGATTCACAGTCCAAGCATTTTACCATATACACGAATATATATATATAGGGAGATATATATAGAGAGAGAAAGGGGATTGACCTGCTAAAGTGGTGACAGGGTAGAGGGGTCCGTGGAGGCCACCAATGGCTAACCGGCCGAAACCCTCGGCTTGGCCGGCGAGGGCTCGTAAGGAGGAGTCGACGTGAGAGTAAGGCAGAGTAGAGGAGGATGCCATGGAATTGGTAGTTGAGCTCGAGATCTGTGAGGCGTTAAGATCGGATGGACTGTATTTATCGGCTGCTGGAATTGCCGTTTTCTCGTTCGCGCCGTTACGGTTCTTGCGGTGTCGGTTGGAAAAATGACACAGATGGTTCCCCATTGAGAATGGACACAGACGTTTCTCGCTATGTTGAAAAACTGACCCACATTGATATATATCATTAAATATATACTTAATGACAAATATATATATACACTTCAAATTGAAACCGACCGACATGCTTCTCGAACCTGATTCGCATTTAGGCGCGTTTCAAATGTTTTTCTTATTTAAATTCGATGCAATAACTCATATATAAATTGAAGCATTTTATTTAATAACTCAATACTGAGTGATAATCTAATTAGCTATAGTCCATATGATGCAACCTATATCAGAAGTATATATTTATTTAAATAAATTTTACCTTACGAGGGTAAAAAAATGGGTGATTTGATCATTTTTATGGTTGTAGAAAGGGGTAAATCATAAATAATAATAAAATTATTGAAAAAGAGAGAATAGATGAGTTTTTGTGAAGGTTTTGATCAAGGGTGTTTTTAGTCATTTACAAAAGTCATATTACAGTTTACTTCAAGAACTAGTGAGAAGGGTATGAATATGTAAGCGTACGAATTCGTGCTAAAAAAAAATATATCACGTAAAAAAAAGAAGAAAATTAATTTAAGGTTATTTTTTGTGAACCCACATGGATCAACTATCGATCATCGTGCATGAATGGTTTTCAAATTAAAATGCTAGACCACGATTAAGTAGATTATTTATTTATTTATTTTTATATATTTAAAATAAGAATTAATTTTACTGATACTCCTCAAGTTTGATCAAATATTACATTGAAATATATTTTAAAAATTATTATCACTAGAGTCTATTTTTACTTTTTTTTTTACTTTTTCGTCACCAACACCGTCTAAAATGTGTGAAATAATAACTTTGTTCCTAATCTTTTTAATCCAAAATATTAACAAATTGAAAGAACAAAATTGACCGTTGACGCAACTACTCATCAACGGGAAGCAAGAAGAGTGATCTGGACTATTTTCCTGTATGCATTGTGGCTTCTTTGCGACCGTTTGGCTACTGATAAAATTGGAGAAAAGATTTTTAAAAAAAAAAAAATTTTGAGGAAATAATTAACTTTCAAACCTTTTTTGTTTGCCATTATTTTGCTTCCTTATCATCTAAGCCTAATATTTATAACACGATCGGTGGAGTGGGTTCTTTTTCTTTTTCTTTTTTTTTGGGTTTAAAACTTATTTTCTTGAACTGAGATATAATAAATAAATAAAAATTATAAAATGGGTTTGATGCTTTTAAAGCACTGAATATTATTAATTCTTAAATTAGGGGACAATCCAGAGAAAGATCGAGGGGAAGATGTTGATGTGGTGAATAACATTCCTTTAGATTAACACAACTCATCTTTTAACTATGTAATTATTCACTCGTCGCTATCTTTTAAAGTCAAGCGGCATAAAAATTTACTTCTAATCTGATGGAAAATATAAATACGCTCGCTATAGTTTGATCTAATATTTGTATTCAAGGTTTTATTTTTATTTATTTTGTTATTTATAAATTTTTTAAAGTGTTGGTTTGTAATTACTATTCTTTCGTACTTATATTAGTCCTTGGGACCTGGACATCCCTTTTTGATGGGTTAATTATTATCAATTGAACAGTTAATTTGGTGAATTTTAATCCGAACTTATATTAGTCCTTTGGACCTGGTTATCCCTTTTTGATGGGTTAATTATTATCATTTGAACAGTTGTTTTGGTGAATTTTAATCCAAACTTATATTTGGGAGGTGGATATAAAAATTTCCAATCTTTTATATTACTCTTCCTTTGTCTCATTTTAAATGTTCTTTTTGAGAACTGTCACCCATTATGGATCACAGTTCCTTTGTAAGTCAGTCTTAAAAAAAAAAAGACATTTAAAATGAAACAGAGAAAATATAAATAATTTCTCTTACTAAATTTTATGAATATCTATTTTATTCTTTGAATTTTAATGTATGTCATTTGTGCTTTCTGATATGGATAGTCGCTCACAATTGAGAAATTGACTTTATGTTGTGTTTGTTTAGAGTGAGGGATGGATGAGAGGGTGGATAAAAATACTGTATTTGGTTAGAGGGAAGGGAAAAGAAGGAGGAAGCAAGGAGGGAATCCCTCCTTTCTTTGTATTTTTCATAAGTATCAATTAACAAAAATATGTATTTTTCATTTCTAACCTTCCTATAAACTTGGAATAAATATAGAATTTTTATAATTTTAAATAATGAGGGTATATTGGTAAAAAGAATATAAAAAACCCTCTTTCCCTTTCTTCCATCCAAACAAAAATAATGTGTCACCTCATCCATTCTTTCTACTATCCATTCCATCCAATCAAAAAAAATTTGAGGGAGACATCTTCCCTTCCCTAGGGATGGCTCGTCTATTCCTTCTCATCTCCCTTCCATCAATTTTTCCATCACTCCAGCCAAACGGAACATTAAGGTGGAAAAATAGTTGGGTTCTTCTCTCAAGATGAAGTTAAAGCAACAAACTTGTTCTGTGTTTAATTCATTAAATAAATTTGATGTCTTTTTCCTAAATTTCTCTTCTAAGGCGAAGACATGATTTCTTAGTTTCATAAATTTGATGTTTTTTTCCTGCTTTTATATTAACTTGTTTTCTTTAAACTCACTTACTTTCTTTGTTTCTTCGTAATTGTGTGTATTTATATTCGTACACACACCCACATAAATATATATCTATATGGAGAGAGATAAAAAGAATAAAGGGTAAAACGCAAGAAACCCCCTGAACAATGCAAAATTGTTGCAGATCACTCCATCCGTTTAACGTCCGGTGATATATGACCGTTGAAATTGGTTTCTTAAATTTAAATGACCATACTGCCCATAGAAGCATGAAAGGACAATAATACCCTTAATTTTAGAACACCGACCAAACAAGACTTTATCAAAATTTCCCCAAATCCATAACTCTGATTCTCTGAATCGTCCCTGTAACACGCGAAGGTCTTAAAGCGTTCTCAATTTCCTAATTTTGGGGATCGTACAGTTTTACGACAAGGATGAGTTCATTAAAATCTAGTAAGACAAGATCAACGATTCACCGCATGTCAAACTGTAACACAGAGGACGGAATGGTCCGGTGACTATACAGAGGACGGAATGGCGAGAAGCAAGAACTGCCACTGAACACGGACGTCATGATGCGGAAGTATTTCAAGCATCCCATAAATTTTCAAAATGATCAAAAAGGAGACAAAATATTCTATAAACATGCAATTGGTAAAAGCCAAAAATGAACCCAGTACCATAAATTGGATTATTGGATCCGTCCGTGCGACCCTCTGCCTTGCCGTCGCCGCACCAGTAAGCCCCGTCGCCGGCGACCTGTTCCTCTCTCTCCGGGGTATCTTCTCAGTTCACGACCCGCCGATCTCTTAAACTATTGCCAGAAAAGTATGCATAAATTCCAGCCTCGGAGGTCCAGGCTACATCCAATTTCTTCACCGCCACCAAGGACAACGCTGACCTCATCCCTCCACCGACGCCGACAAGTCTCTGGTCTAGACTCTAGACATAATGCGTCCGCCTTTTCTGGTCTCTTCTCTGCCAAAGCTCACAGCGAACTCCGCAAATCCATGACCGATGGCGACTCGTGTTCTCTCTTTAGGAATTCGCTTCTGCAGTTTCAGTAGCCACCGGCGAATGAGAATTCCAACTGAAGGTGGTTACGTTGAAATTTCACCACCTATCATCACCTTCACCCGATCTTCTCACCGGATTCGCACGCAATCTCACCGCCGAACAGTCTTCACCAGCTATGCTCACACGCGATAACACGGTGAGAAAAAGCTAACCAATCAATACCCTACTTTCCCTAACGTGCGCTCATGCGCCATGTTTTTATGATTAATTTCTTCACAGAATTGTTCATGATGGTAGCTCTGTTCTTGGATTTGTCTCCGATTTTGCTTCTTTGGTCTGTTTTGGATTGATTTGATCTTAATTGGTGCATCGGATTGACTATATGCGTGAATAAATAGGTTTGTTTTGTTGTTTAATCAACCCAAAACATTCATCTCTCCCATGCAAGCTCTCTGGCATCGGCAACCGAATTATAAGACCCCAAAATTATAGCTGCAAGACCAATAAAAATCTTGTAGTATAGGTGGTTGTTGGTGTGATGGAGTATATATTATCTCTTTGGTGTGCTGTCAATATACCATTGGCTGTTGAGAATTTTTTTGCCGCGTCAGCAAATTAATATGACGATGCTTCAAACGGTGTAGTTTCATAGTAAGGACAAAAATGTCATTTACCTTTTCCTGTGACCTGATGGGGTAATATGCAACAAAATCAAAGTCCAGGGGTTTTTTTGTAGTCCAAGGGGGTTAGTTGCAAAACTCCCATAGTTCAGGGGGGTTTCTTGCATTTTACCCAAGAATAAATTGACAGTACCACAAACAAGTAATTTGGAATAGTATTGAACTTAAATTTGTAGCAATTCTTGTTAGTGAGAAATTTATTAAAAAGGTACCAATGCCATTTTGTATACAAAAACTGTTAAGTGTTTTAATGTGATATTTAGTCAAATTTGAGGGAGTGCTAATGAAATTAATCCTTAAAATGAATTGATTGTGAAGAACTTCAAATAATTAAAAATGTAAATTAATGCTTTCAATATAACTCCCCATCCTGAACTCTCCTTTTTAACTAACTAATGGAAAGAAGTATTAAATTTTTACATATCTCAAAAACTACCTTAATCAAGCTGTTAAGTATTAAGAGTTCATAACTCTTTCATAAATTCTCTTGAAAGCATTCTCAATATGAATATATGATGTTATCATTATTATAATTCTGGCATATAAGGTCCAATACACGGAGATCATAAACCCCTAATTTCTTGACATTAGGTGATTTTATCAACGAATAATATTTTGAAATTTTTTTTTTCAAAAGGAGGGATATACACAAGATAAGTCTCACAGGGATACAATAAGCTTTCCATCAGAATTTCAATTCCACATAGTTAAATGGAAGATGTAACATATTATATATATATATATATATATATATATATATATATATATATATATGATATAACATGTTTATAACACATTTATTTTAAAGTTGCAACATGCAATATATCATATTAAGATAAAACATTGCCTAATTGTTAAATCAATAATGTACGACAAAAATGTAACTCTTTTAGATCATTATTATGTTTTCGATTTAATTACATTGTGTACGACAAAAATTACTAGTTTTATTATAATTTTCTTTTAAAAAATTCTCCTATTCATAAAAAAAAATAAAAAATAAAAAATAAAAATGCATCAAAGATTAATCAATTTATCCTTACTTCTATTTCTTTCCATTTTTTTGAAAAAAACACAGATAAATTTCGTATCTCCTCCTTTCCTTTTCTCTCATCTCATATGCTTTGTTTTAAAAAAGGTGTAATAACTCTTTTTAACGTCAACAAGACGAGCGCAATTTGTCATACCTCCTTTACCTAAACATGCAAGAGTGAGAAATGACAGGGCAAAATTTGAATGAGGTTCTAACCTGTAATTTCGCCCCCGGCCGTTAAATGGTGGGGCCCGACCCACCTCTAAATTCCCCGCCTCTGCAACTGCCCGAACTTCTCGTCACTCACCACCTCCTTCTTTCTCATCTCTCAAAACCCTAGAATTTCCAATCTTTCAGCATTTCACCAAAATGAATTTCTGAAACCCTCTCTCTCCTACATTGCCCAATATGGCTTCCCCATTGGAAGAAGGTAATGCACGCACCATTCACACACACACATTTATATATATATCTATATGACTACATATATATATATCTCAATTACCATTGAATTTCTTGATTTGATCAAAATCTGTGTAATGTATGTGTTGATTGTGAAGGAGGCGAGAGGGATCTGGAGATAGGAATGAGCTCTGTGCCAGACCCTCACCTTCTTGCCAAGCCACCGTCGCCGTTGCAGTCATCGCCATCACCTTCTCGGATGGCAACGGCGTCACCATCATCGAGGCCGGCTCTTGTTGTGTCCAATTCATTTAAGACATTGGCCGGATCAAGCTCCGGTAAGGCATTGCTTGTGTCGTATTCGAGCAAATCTTTGTTGATGTCTAATTCAGGCAAGAGGATGGACCAGGCCGGGAAGAAGAAGTACGTGAAGCAGGTGACCGGCCGGTTCAACGACACGGAGCTGCATTTAGCGGCACAGCGGGGGGACGTGGCCGCTGTGAAGCAGATTCTTGGCGAGATTGATGCGCAGATGATGGGGACGCTGAGTGGGACGGAGTTCGATGCGGAGGTATCGGAGATTCGGTCTGATATGGTGAATGAGGTGAATGAGTTGGGGGAGACGGCGCTCTTCACGGCAGCTGAGAAGGGGCATATTGACGTCGTAAAGGAGCTGTTGCCCTACATGACCAAGGAAGGCATTTCAGCAAAGAATCGGTCCGGTTTCGATCCATTGCATATTGCTGCAAGGCAAGGTCACCTAGGTAATGATTGAATTTACGTGTTATTTTATTTTGTTTTAATTTTTCAAGTAGTCACTTCTCATTTACATGTCCAGTTTAACTTCAATATATATGTTTATACTTGAGTTGGTATAAGGAGGTTGGAATATGATGCAAGGACACCATACAGATAGAGGCTAAAACTGTTATGCAGTTTCATTTTCTATAACCTTTTCTATTCATCCTTGTCATTGTTGTTGTTGTCATCATTATTATCATTGAAATAGGCTTGAATACTATTCTAAGGGGTATCCTAGCATTCAACATCAAACACTCAGGATAGAAAATTGAAGGTTTGTCAAAATCCACCCCAACTACTACTCTAAAGTGATGTGAGACGTCACAATCACCCCTCTTCAGACAGCGTCCTCGCTGAGGTATCCCCATATAAGTGCCACCAACTTCTCCTCCCAATGGACGTGGGGTGTCACAAGTACCTTTTTAAGACCTAGCATCCTCGCTGGTTTGACTCGTATGGGCTTGTGCATGCTCCTCCATTTCCGGTTAGGGATTAGCTCTAATACCATCTGTCAGGATCCGTCCCACACTATCCAAATACTATCCATTTTGCGACACAAGCACTCAAGATTTTCAAAACGCATCTACACAGGTAGGAGACATCCCTATAAGTGCCAGTAACTTTTCCCCCCAGGTGATGTGGAACAAGGTTGCTATAGTAAGATGAGGATTCGGCATGGGACACCGCGGGTTTGTTCCCATTAGAATCCTTTTACAAGAATATTGAAGGTGTGGTGTTCAATAAGCCGTGCCTAGGAATCTCTTTCTTGTATGGTGAGAATATTGTTCCTCTCATAATTTCTTAGAGTGAAAAAGCAAGTGGACATTTTACCTTCTATGAACGAAGGCACAAGCTTTGAGGAGTTGAAACATGATTTTTAATTATGCTTCTTACATGCAAAAGATTTATAAAGATAACTTAATAGTAAATAAGAAAATATTGTCAAGAATGATATAAAATATGTAATATGTACGAAGTTGGACAATTTTTTAAAGCTCGAGGGGCACTCTCACATGTAGTTTAAAGAAGAAAAAATAAAACCTTTACAATTGTCATGTTCAAGGATTGGAAAAATAAGATTCACCGAGAAGAGAATATAATTAGGACAAGTTTGAACCTATCAATTGGTAGAGTGAAAAAGAATTAAAATCTTTTGGAGTTAATTCAAGCTCATTGACCCCAAAATTCTATTGAATGAACCCAAAAGACCGAAAAACCAATTTGACCAATTCGTTCTAAACTATAAAACAATATAAGAAAAAAGAAGCAGCCAAGTAGTCAACTCAACTCTACAAAAAAGCCACATCCTTAGCTATGCTGCATATTATCTTATCTTTCCTAAATATCTCAACCCATCCCTAGCATTTCCCTTAATAAGGACTATGTCATCTTTTCTAAACATGGCAGTTATTGGCCATTGCACATGGCAAAACCATCTTACTCTATTCTTTCTTTTTTTTTTTTATCTCCAATCAATGCTACTTCAACCATCCATAAATGTATAAATTTTTTTTTTTGGTCTTGCTACACATCCATCTCAACGTCCACATTTCTGCCACTCATTTCAGGAATACATTTGGTTTTTTTAGCTACTCATCATTTTGTCTTGCAAGGTATAACTGATCAAATAGCTATTTTATGAAATTTACCTTCAGTTTTAAAGGTATACGTTGATCACACTAGATACCAGAAGGACCATTTGACCCAGCCTACTTTATAAAGCCTAGGTTCGAAAAGTTATTCACTTTTTGGCACCTCTTGACCATTTATCATCACTACATCCATACTTGTATTTCTAGTTTTACTAAAGTTACAATACACATATTCAATTGTATTAATATGTCTCTTAAACTCTCTTGATTTTAAAGTATCTTCAAACCTCTACATTTGCTCTATCTATGCCCTAGTTCCTTCAATCAGAATGATACTATCAGCTAATAGCATAAACCATAGAATCCCATCCTAAATGTGTTTTGTTTGTTCATTCATAACAATAGCAAAAAATATGAGCTTAATGTCGATCCCTGATATGAACATACATAAATTGAGAATTTATTTGTTTCTTCATCATATATGTCCTTTACCACATAAAAATATTTACTAGTGACTTACTTTTTATCTAATGCCCAACATATTGTATCTGAGGGAATCCTATCTTAGGCTTTCTATGGATGTATAATAACCATGTGTAGATTTTTTCTATATTGATATTCTCAATAAATACATAGTTTCAACCATTGACCTTCCCAGCAGATATCCAAGTTAATTGTCCCACACTATATAGTTTCACACCCTAGTCATTATTCTGCAACTCTTTCAAAGAGTTTCATAGAATGAATCATTAATTAGATACCACAATAATTTGAACTTTTTAATTATTATTATTTTTTTAGCCAAAACTGACCATCATCACATAAACACCTCCAATCTTCAATAGGAATGCTTTTCATCTTATGCAATGCACTCGTAATTTATTATTTTGTTATCCAAAAAAAAGGCCATCATCACATAAACACCTCCAAGCCTCAAAGCTTACCTTTTAACCGGAAAAAAAAAAAAAAAAAAAAAAAACCTCCAAGCCTCGATAGGAATGCCTTTCATCTTATATGATGCCCTTTTAAGCTCATATATACATTGACCTTGTGGACATTGATGTATTCTCTAATCTCACAAGGGTTACCATATTTTCTAAACATAAGCTTCCCATATGAGTTATATTTAAAAACTTCTCTAAGTAAGCTTTCCACCTTTCACTAAAGCATAGATCCTTAGTTTTATGCACTTAATAGTGCTCAAATCTCTAGTTTTTCTCTCCCTAAACTTAGCAAGTTAAAAAATATATATATTCTCCTCATCTTTTGTACCTAATTGGAATAAATATAATCTTATTCTTGCACTTATCTTGCTCTTCTCTTTTAATTTCTTTGTTTTGCATGCTTTTTATTTCTCAGAAGTTTCTTCACTACCCATTTTTTTTTTTTTCAGAATTTATAACACCTTTTGTTTTCTTAGATAATGGCCTCTTCCTTTTAATTTCCCAAGAGTTTCTTTTGCCATTCTTTTAGTACTTTCAGACATCTTATTCTATATTATACTGGTTTCATTAGCTAAATTCCTTATCTTTGAAAACCTTTTTCTTAAATAATTTTACATTCTCCGCTTTCAAATTCGTCCACCTAACTCTTGAGTTTATAACTTACTTTCTCATCCTTGATTGTCCTTAGGGGTGGCAAAATTCGATACGACCCGCCAACATGACTAAAACATGACATGAAGCTAGTAGGTTTGGGTTGACCTTAATTGTGTCGTGTTCGTGTTGTGGAGCTCAACCCGTTTAACCTAGACCCGTTTAATTAATCATATCAAGTCAACCCAGTTAAACCATAACTTGTATTAACCCAAGAGTTTCTTTTGCCATTCTTTTAGTACTTTCAGACATCTTATTCTACATTATACTGGTTTCATTTGCTAAATTCCTTATCTTTGAATACCATTTTCTTAAATAATTTTACATTCTCCCCTTTCAAATTCGTCCACCTAGCTCTAGAGTTTATAAATTACTTTCTCATCCTTGATTGTCCTTAGGGGTGGCAAAATTCGATACGACCCGCCAACATGACTAGAACATGACATGAAGCTATTGGGTTTGGGTTGACCTTAATTGTGTCGCGTTGTGGAGCTCAACCCGTTTAACCTAGACCCGTTTAATTAATCATATCAAGTCAACCTGGTTAAACCATAACTTGTTTTAACCCAATTACTATGAACATTTCTATTATTTCAATATAAATTCAATGGATACTGGTTTTTTTTTTTTTTTTTTTTTTTTTTGATATTGTATTGTCTCAATTTTCATGAATTTAGTCATCCATTATCTCAACTTTTTAATTATATTTGCATTTTATACTTAAGTTAATAAATGTGTTACATAACCCATTTTAGTTAAACGGGTTAAATAGGTTTTTAAATGTGTCATGTCACATGACCACCCATTTATCAAACGAGTTACACGGATCGTGTTGTGTTATCCGTTTTTTAACGGGTCGTGTTCGGATTGACTTGTTTAGCATAATACTAACAGGTCGACAGGACACAATAATGGCCCGCCAACGCGAATTGTTACCCCTAATTGTCCTTTAATAGATATATATAAGACTACCAATGTCTATTGTGATGTTACGCGTGCGCCTATCTACTTTTCTAGTTAGGAATCTGAGTTATATTTAATCCATTTTCTAGAGTGATTCATTCATCACTCTTTTTATATAAGATATTTGGCTACCATAATCTTATATGCTATAACCTCTCTAGCATCATTCCTATCTCCGTCCAAATATGTGATCATCCTAGACCATCTCATATCCTCCACTATCTTTCCATACATTGCCATTAAGTTTACTCATATAAATATTTATTTTTTTAAGGTGTTTCTTGAATTAATTCATCCATATGTGACCAAATTGTGCTTTAATATACTTACCCAATCCTACTTTTGGTGCATAAGCGCTAATTATATTAACTATATGTCTCCTAATAATGTTTTCTTAATATCATCCTATCCCCTTTTCTAATAACTGTAACAACATTTTATCTTAAATCATTATCTCCAATTATTTGTACTCAATTTATTTTTTCCTTTCTTTTCTAGTGTACTAGAGTCACGCCCTGTATTTTCAATTTATCTAACCTTCTCTCCAACCCATTCGTCTCTAATAAGCATGCTATATTAAATGTCCTCTACCAGCTCCATCCCTTTACCCGCCAATATTTATATATTCCAAATCCCTAAACTAAGCATATCATCTTGGATGAACTTTTTCACTTGCAGTTGTCCAAAACGCAAAAAAGCGTCATGTAGTTTTCACCACACTTGGATGCCGCTGCAATGCTCCTAGTTTTTTTTTTTTTTTTTTTTCTCCTGAAGCATTGGAACCAAATACAACGGGTTGCTTAAACGGAACGCCCTAGCATTTACGTATATATTCTCAGGATTCATATTCATATAGAGCTGATGGAAGTTTTACATTAGCTGTCAAGCTTCCTAACGAAATCCTCTTTGTTTCTCCAGGCTTGGGACCTTCTATGCAAAGATAAGACACTAAGCATAGCGCAAGTGGAGTTATAAAAAGTAAAAAGATACATAGATATATACACACACACACACATATATATAAATTGGAGGTGAAATCCCTTAGAATTTGGGATGAAACAATTTTTGTGAATAATTACAAGCCTTACCAGAATTATTCAAAACTAAATTATGCCGAAAGCAAGTTACTGAAAAGAAAAAAGAACTAACTTGAAATTTTGTAAAAACATTTTGGGAATATGAAACTTCATTTAAGTTTCGAGAAAAGTTGTTGAAATCACTAAAGACTTGGAAATCAAAAGTCTCAGTTCATTAATTTTTTTTCTTTCTTCCTTCCTTTCCACTTTCTAATCTTGAAGACTTTATTAAAATCCCTCATTAAACTAACCCTAGGTTGCTTGAAACAATATTGAGAAAATCCCTATTAAAGAGATTATTTTACACATTGATGCCCCTGAAAAATTAGGCACAAGTAAGGATGCTCATTAAACTTCATATCAAAACCTTGCACATGCCTTACAGGATTCTTGTTTAAATATAATTCTTATGAACCGCTGGAGTTCTGCATCTGTTGAGGTGCATCATGTGCCTCAAGGTGCCCCTTGACTTCGCTTTTCTAGATTTTCAGGTTAATAGTGGGTAATAGATAAAAATTGAAATAGTTGTAGGTGACTCCTCAAGCCTGTATAATCCATAATATAATTGTTAATATAAGAAAATTGACTGAAATCAATTGAAAGATAATGTTGACAAGGTTCACATCGTATGGTCAATGGTGGCAGTTTCGAAGCATGAGCGAGTTTGCACAAGAGCAGATCGGTCACACAGTAGAAGAACACTAAATATACTTATTCTCGCTATCAAATGTTCAAATATCGGGACAGTTGTCAATTCATGATCACTTCCCAGTACACAATCATATGATTCCTTTCTGAATTGTGGAAACTAACTAGATAATGGAATTAACCTTTTTGTTTCAATGTCCAGCATGTGCTATGTAAACTTTTGTGGCTTCCTGCGGAACATTAAAAAGATTATCAACTACTCTGTTACCTCTTCTTTTGTTTTTCTTTTTTTCTAGTTGTTTGCATTTATATCCTTGAACAGGCTGTATATTTTTTATCCAGTTCGACTCAGTTATATAGCTATATCTATGCAGCCATTGTCCAGATACTATTAAATCATGACCCAGGGCTAACTAAAACAGTTGGCCAGTCGAATGCAACCCCTCTTGTATCTGCTGCTACAAGAGGGCATGCTGCCGTGGTTAATGAATTGCTGTCAAAGGATTCCAGCTTGCTGGATATATCAAGATCCAATGGAAAGAATGCATTACATTTAGCTGCCCGGCAGGGGCATGTGGATATTGTTAAAGCATTGCTTGATAAGGATCCTCAACTGGCAAGAATAACTGATAAGAAAGGGCAGACTGCACTGCATATGGCTGTCAAAGGAGTCAGTTGTGAAGTGGTGAGGTTGCTTCTTCGGGCAGATGCAGCCACTGTGAGGCTTCCAGACAAGTTTGGTAATATGCCATTACATATAGCCACCAGGAAAAAGCGAGTAGAGGTATTCATTAACATTTTTGCACCTCTATATTAATTAACTTATATTTTCTTGATTGTTCATGGGTCTAATTAGCACCTTGTTCAACATATGGATATTTATGTTTTTTACTCAAATGGTTCTTGATAGTTATGTCTATGGTCTAAGAATTGGTTTCTATTAGCCAGATTCAAGGCCATGACATTTGGTTCTGAGGATCTGGCACTTGATTGAATAATGGAGCCACACAGTCCCTCAACAAAGGAGTCGTTACCTAGTTAAAGGCTATTAGGAACCTTTATCTGTTGAGTCCAAGGAAATGTTCAGGAACTCTGGTATATATGGAAAGGGTTTACACTCACCTCATCCTTCCAACTCTTTGACCTCTATGTGCACCCAAAAACAAGGTTTAAGCTTAATTTCGAATTAGCCAAATATATTAAAAATAAAGAAACAAAGCAAATATGTAAATAAACCGAGGAATTGTAATATTAAGCTATAAATACAAAAATTAATACACTTGAGGAAAAATAAAAAAAAATAAAAACAAGAAAACATGCATCGACACTGAAAACATACTAAGAAATTAGAACTTGCACATAACTAATGGTATGCATGTACATTTTAGACTAGGAGACTTACATATAAACTAAAAGATGTAAGTAAACAAATAATAGCAGTTGCAAGAATAAAAAAGATGTAAATAAACCAATAATAGCAGTTGTAGTCTTCAACTTAACTAAGACACTAAACATGCGTCCAGGAATTATAGAACTAGGATCATGTGCATGACTAAGAAATGCATATTAAGGATATACATGAAGGTGATACATGCACGGGGACATGTAAAGAGACTAGTAACTAGAAAACGTGTAATTAAAACTCCTCGATCCTTGCTCCAAAGCCAACACATGAGTTTTGGTGCTCATATTTCTTTCATTCCATCGGTATGCTCTCTAGTGTTTGAGTTGGTAGTAATGGAATGGTGTAAAAGATCTCTTAACTTAGATAGGAGGAGGGGTTTACTAACTTGTAACATAAAGTTTCTTCTTCATGATTTACACTTGAAGATAGACAATAAACTAGAATTGAACAATCAAAAATCTAGAATTACCAAACATAATCGAATGGCGGGAACTTACAAAAAATAATATAAACTAATAAATGATGAAATCGTAGAATTATGCTAAACTAAGAAGGAAAAGGGCCTAATTGCAAATTTTGGTTCTTTCAAAGTGACAAAAGCTCTTTATCTTCAGAAATGCAAGCATCTCAAAATTTTGGAATAATAACTGCTTCCAACCTGGGAAATTGGGTAAATCACTGGATTTTTTTCACTTGAGAACTAGATAAGCCTCTCCAACAGGGAGAGCTTGAAGCAATACTCAAAGTCTCAAACATCATTTTGATCGGTTGAGAAATAGTTTCTTTTTATACATAGTTGATTTCTAAATATTTGAAGTGTCTCCTCAAGTGGCAACTTAAATATTTTTAGAACCTAGTGGTCCTAAGAAAATGCTAAAATAGGCTCCAGCCCAGCCACAGGATTAGCAGATGAACAACCTTGAGTGCCCATAAACTCTCAATTTCACGTGCCAAACGGCTATTTATATATGCATTGAACATTCAAGTTCCTTATTTGGAACTTTAAAATGATGAGGGGTGAAGCTACTGTTGGCTCGCGCCCGGGGGGGTTTTCTCTTTTTCTCTGCTTTTTCTTCAAATTTCTTTGATTATCTTAAAAGCATTTTGCAGTCCTATTCTTCAATTAAACCCTAGTTTTTTTCCCCTTCAAAGTTCTCTCATTTGAAATGTAATTTTTCTTCTTCTTCTGCTACCTTTTTTTTCTCTCTTCTTGCACTCATGTATGAGATGTGTACAATAAGGCAGTAGCCTTTTTTTTTTTTTTCCTTAGTTTTTTCCCCCTTTTTCTTCTTTAAATTTGTCATTTCAATTTATGTACTTAATATTTTTATTTATGTTTCTAAATTTTTCTCTGCTGCAATTTTTTGTGAAACTTACTATTTGACTCCTTGATCATTGCACTGTTACTAGTTTATATCAATGTCTTCACTGGTTGAAAGTTGGCATCACAATGCATCCCTTTAATGCATTGCTTTATTTTTAGGATTTAATTAATATAGAATAGATCTATTTTTCCTGTGCGTGTCAACCATTATAATTTTGTTTGGTATTCTCAATCTCTCTCTTCATCTGGAAGTTCTTTTTCTCCTTTTTTTTTTTTACTTCTTCTTCTTCTTGTTGAAATGGGCACGATTTCTGATTTTTAATTTATAACACAAGCATATTAATCACCCACATTGAATTAGCTGCCCTTTGTTTCTCTTGGAATGAGATTTTCATCAGGTTTGAGTTTTTGGACTTCTATTTTGTTTATGCTAAGATTTATGTGCAAGGAAAATACGTTGGATCATAAAGCATGTGTGGTTATTTAAAGAAGTAACATATGCTGTAATATTAGGCTTTTGATTTATTACAGATAGTGAATGAGCTGTTGCGCATGATTGACACCGATGTAAATGCGCTTACAAGAGAACAGAAAACAGCTGTTGACATAGTGGAAGGACTCGCTCTCTCTGAAGAGACCTCTGAAATAAAGGACATTTTGGCTCGCTATGGTGGCTTCAGAGCAAACGATCTGAACCAGCCACGGGACGAGCTTAGAAAAACTGTAACAGAAATAAAAAAAAATGTTCACACCCAGCTTGAACAAGCCCGGCAAACGTACCAGAACATGAATGGAATTGCCAATGAGCTGCGAAAGCTCCACAGAAAAGGAATCAACAATGCTACCAATTCAGTCACTGTGGTGGCTTCTCTCTTTGCGACAATTACATTTGCATCTGTTTTCACAGTTCCAGGAGGTGCTAATGATGACGGGATTGCTTCAACAATAGACACACCATCTTTCAAGATCTACTTCATCTTTAACGCCCTTGCTCTCTTCACATCATTGGCTGTTGTAGTGGTACAGATTACGGTGGTTAGGGGGGAGATAAATTCTGAGAGGAGGGTTGTGACAGTGATCAATAAGCTGATGTGGTTGGCGTCTGTTTGCACTACAGTGGCATTCATTGCTTCATCCTATATTGTGATAGGCCGGCAGAATATATGGGCTGCTATTTTCGTCACAGTTGTAGGGGGATTTATAATGTTTGTAGTTCTTGTTGCCATGACTTATTATGTGGTGAAGTCTAAAAGGGTTCGGAAAGTAAAGAAGAGAGAGAAGTCTGCGAGGAATGCAACCAATACATGGCGTTACTCAGAGATATCTGATGCTGAAGTAAACCCAGTTTATGCCATTTGATGTAATGGCTTGGACAGGTTTCCTATGCTCCTTCTGATATTTTATATAAACGAAAAAAAAAATCAGAAGAAATGAAGTAAATATTAGATCTGCAGACGAGTAGCATTTCAAGTGATGGATTTCTTGGAAGTGATTAAATTTTGGCGTGCTGAGATGTTGTACGGTGTAATAAGAATCAATTGTTGATTACTCGGGAATCTTTGATGGCACGAAATCAGAATATCATATACTCAGTATTTATTGTACATGTACTCTTTTGTGTTGTCATCTGAATTTTCAGATTATGTATATATAGCTGAGAGTGGTTTCTCTCCCGATCAAGAAAACATAGTGAGGTTTCTGAATGTCCAGTTAGACCCGTGAATTTGAATTCTGTGAATCAAATTTGAAGCTGAGCCTAATTATGTAAAATTTGGAAATTTTGTTTGGTGGAGATGCAGTGAGCATTTGATTTGCCTCATTGATAAAGACTGAGATATACATCAATGGCCAGTATTATTTTGTACTATTCCTTCAATTAGGATGGACAAATCAAGAAACTCTGGTATGAGATTAAGGCTGTTTATAATTAATATTAATTTTCATTATGTTTGTGTAATTTTTACTCATTTGTAGTCCTTAAATTACTCTGTTCATTTGATTGCTTCCATTTTTTATTTTTATTTTTACTATAAAGTCATCAGTTTCAATTTTTTATCAGTTATAGGGGCTGTTTACACTTGAAATAAGCACTATGTGCATTGAATGAAGAAATATAAGGTCATTTGACTTTCTTTCTCAATCAAACTGGTTTGAATCTTGCATTTGTGCTATATGGTGGATGGTCCATTTATGGATTTAAATTCATGATTTGTGCAGTACAGAGATCTATGTTGCAAAGTCAAAGTTAGACTTTATAGATTACTAGAAGATGATGTTTGGCATATGGGAAAAGTTTCATAACATCAACTACTTGATATAATTGTGCAGAATTAGTCAAATTTAACCATTTTAACACTTGATTTTTTGTTTTTGTTTTTGGTGGTTATGCTGAATAGGACATAGAAACTTCTACTAAGAAAACTACAAAAAGAGGTTGGGTATATGGTAGTTTTAGTTTAGGATTTGTTGGCAGCACTTTAAAAGAAGAATGAATTTCAATTGCCAAGTAGAGATGGTATACAACTCAATTAATTTAAAAAAAAAAAAAAAAAAAATTAGTATATAAATTTGTTGGCTTCAAATGACAGAAATAGAACTGGTCAATGAACAATTTAAGAACATTTAATTTGGGTTGAAATTCACATTTTCTGAAACTACTGTGCCCTAAGTTCTAAGTAAAAGTCCAAGTAAATTTTTTTTTTTTTTTTTCTTAAAGTCCAAGTAAATGAGAAACATTTTTTTGGGCATAAATAATGTGCATTATGTATGTACACCAAGTCAATGGCCAATCAAAGTCAAAGTAATAGAGTGGGAAATTTGACCTCAAACAATCCCACGTCTTCAAAGAGATGAGCTATAATGGCTTTAATTAAATCCACTAATTACGTCCATTAAAATGTTATAATTTTATAGTGATTTGATAGGAATGACAACAACTTGGTCAGAGAATCATTCAAGTCCGTCTCTACATTTTATCTATATTTATATATATATAGTATTTGATTATGCGTATCAGAGAATCATTCAGGTCATATATATATATTTATACTATTTGATTATGCTTATCTGTGATACCATTATCTATGCATATTGGTAAAAGTGGACGCGATACAAATAAATATCGAGAGAAACTAAATAAATAAATAAATAATTATTAATTAAAATGCAAATAAATTATACTAATTAGTTTGTATTTATATAGTAAGAATGTAGATGGAGGCACGTAAGACCAAAATAATCCGGAATTGGTTGGATGAACATATATAGGAGTGAAAAATGTATGATCAATTAGTTTTTGTATTGAATTTTATATTCTGATTGAGTTAATCAAGGTCCACCTATACTCAGCCACATAAGATCTCACATGGTTGTGTCAGCAAACGTTGTCCAGAGCCAGAAGGCCAGCAACCAACGGTTTGTCATTCCCTCCGTGAAAAGGAATTAAAATGTTACTTAGACGTCTCATATATATATATAAATATATATATATATATTCTTCCAAATATGATAATTGTGGCTCTCAATGATGAGTTCCCCCACGACTGGCGTTTGGTTAGAGCCAAACACGGAAATTACTAGTAATAATTGAAAATGAAAAAAAAAGTGAAGTCAAGTAAATAAATTTTCTATTTACCATAAATTAAGAATAGGTAGTGATGAAATCGAATTACAAATTAAGGTCTCTAAAATTCAATCGGGCCTGTGAGCCTAAGCCACTTTTAATGAATTTATAAATTAAGACAGATGTGGTGTTAATCCAACGATACGTGTATTATTTGAGACCTCTGATCTATGTTCGAAACTCACTTTCATGTAGCTTAGTTACATTATATTATAGGTCTAGACTGCCTTGGGCCGGCCAACTATACCGATTGGCTATGCATAATTTTTATGACTAAGATCAATCTAATTGATTATGCTGACGTTACTAAGAAAAAAAAAAAAAAAAAAGTGGGGCCCACATTTTTGGCATCGCAATCCCACGGACACAATTAACAACCTCAAACAATTTGTGTGTAAATCCGCTTAATTGCGAACCCCACACCAACACAAATCCTAATTAAAATGATTGTATGCCAGCCATACCTAATGAGCTCATATCACTAGCTTCGTAGCCTTAGCCTCGTGTTGTATACTTCATGTCCACTTTTACACTATACAACCTTTGACACTGTAAGCCTCATAGGGAGGAAGGAAGTTATGGCCCAAATGGAATACGTGTCCCAATTGAATTTTTTTATATTCTATATCTATAATTAGTTTAATCTCAAAAATATCTCTCTATATATAAATATCTCTCTCTTTTTATATATATCTACTCATAAGCATTAAGTTATATGCATGAATATGATACTATATATATATATTATGGTGTACAATATTATAAAATGTGCCCTTTCTGAACAAGTTTTTTGGCACTATTTCTGAGCGTAATATAAATTTAAATTGATTAATACAATATATATTCAAAATCATTATTTTCTCTCTATAAAATATGAGATTGGATCACATTTTTAGATGGGATGTGTGAACCTGAGTCACCCCTAACACATTCTATTTTTATCAATTTTAAATGAAAATTTGTTGCAGTAAATTATAATAATAAAATAGGTTAAGATGGTCCTGAATCGTAATCATGAATATGTAAGAAAGGAAGGATTGGGATGTAATTTGTGTTGATATCTGACTTGCCAACTAAATAACAAATTTAGTGTCAACATGGGTGCATCCACTTAATGCCAAAACCCACGTGGGGTCCTACGTAACGTGGTGGCCCTTGACCCGAGTTCAAGTTATGCCTTTTAGTCAATGGTCCCTTTTTTACCACTTTCAAATATCCAATCATATCACACACTTCGCTTTACTCCAATATTTATTACCATCTTTCGTACACGTACACACTTGTCATCACATAAAAGACTTAAATAGCCTCGCCTGTCACAATAATGATGCATCTATCTCACCATTTTAAGGGCAACTTGACACAAGATGTGTACAATTATATCTCCTTTATAAAAAATAATAATAATAAATAAATAAAAACAAACTTAAAGTCTTTTAAACGAACTCAATCACAGATTTATAAATCTGTATCTTAAAATCATATCAAATCGTTATATAATTTTATAATACTTATTAGCATAATAAATGGACACTAATTCAAATGATATAAACTCTTCTCTAATTGAAAAAGTTATTGTTTTTTTTCAATTTTTTTTTTTTCACTCTAAATGAAGAGGTTGACGGCGGTATGTTTGCTTCAAGTTTTTTTTCTTTCTAAAAACATTTACTAGCGTGCATCATTTTGTCAGAGAAACTTTTTCCAATGTACTTTTATTTAGTTTTATTACTTTGTTTAAATAAAAATCTGATAAATAGTTTTTGTTTCTCCCGAGTTTCAAATTCCAATGCAGAATAATTCAATTCATGTTTTATGTATCATATTTTTTAATTTATAAAGTTTCTTATTATAATTATAGTCTTATATTGAGATTCTCAAAACTAAATATCATTCTATATAGAATTATTCTAATTTTATACAATAACATTAACGCACTTATTGTAGTGACGCATTTTTCCAGGGGTGGTTGGTAGTTGTTACAGTAGTTTTTGCTTTACAATAGTATTGACCATGGACTTAGAAGGCAAATTATTTAAATCCAATTTCAAACTATTAATTTTGATTAAACAAGTTTAGTTACTTGGGAAAGTTTAAATGTTAAAGCGTGTGAATCCATTAATTTTATTACTGAAATGTCTCATTCATGCGGTCCATTCAATGTTTGTGTGAATGGACCGCATTGAAATGAAATTTTATCGGTAGGGCTTATTTGTAAAAAGGAACATGTGGATGACACACAAATTGTTTGTATCCATAAAATTTCAATTATTAGTTACCATGTAGCTCACGCGGTGTAGTACACGGTGTTTTCATTTTTAGAAATTATTATATTTACGGCCAATTGAGTTATAGATTATTGAGGTTATTATTATTATTTTTTTATGTAGATGGAGCCACTTTTATTGTGGGGTGAATCATTAATTGGGCATATCAATCAAATGGTATATTCAGCTCCCCCAATATGTTCTTCCATAAGCTTGTACATTTTTTTTCATTTTCGGTCGAAGATAGAGCATATCATCTTTTAAGAACCGCGGACTTGTACATGGTACTTCAAGAAGATTGATTATAATACATTTCGTTAGAATTGGTTTATAAATATTGTCTATTTTACATATTCTCTATACTCAAAATGCATTTACATATATAATGTAACAAGGGAATTCGGATCCTCTCTAGTGGGAATTTTGTGCTATTGTCCTATGTTATATTTAAATTGTTAGTGCGACAAACTTACATTGTAGTGCAATTAAGGACGGAGCCAGAAATATAAAGTTGGGGAGCCAAATTACTAGTATAAAATTGAATTTTTTTAAAAAAAGAGATTGTAAAATTGTAACATTTTAAGGATACTTCATATAAAATTGCAAAAAAAAATTGTAATTGTTAGTTCATTTTAGACTTTTTCTTTTCTTTTCTAGTTAACATGTCTATAAATGATATATAAAGAAAAAAAATGGGAAGAATAAATAAATGAGATTGTTAAATTAAAATATTTTTTTATTATTTTTAATTCATAACAAACAATATATATCTAGATATATATATCTATGTGTGTGCGAACGCGTGTGTATATGCATAGAGTACTCATATATTATATCAATATTGCAATAATAACTTTCCAAAAAAAAAAGATTGCAATAATAATTAAGAAAGGATTTGTTAGACTAAGAGGAACACAAGTAATTTCTTTTGTAAACTATCTTTAATAACCATAAATAAGTAGTCAAAATAAATATTTTTTAAAAATTTTGGAAGCCAATTTTAATTTTTTTTATAATAAATTATAATTAATAATTATAAATATACACCATTAATAAAAGTTGCAGAAAATTTTGGTGGGCCAATAAAAAAGTTGTGTGATTGATGTAATGTTATTATATTTATTACATGAGCAGCGTAATGACACGGGACCTCAACACATTATAGTAGTTACTTGCAAGTTTGCCATATCAGTTTACATCAACTAATGTTCGGCTTTCCTTGTAACTCATTTTCCTCTGCTAATGTTAGAAACTACTAAACTTTATTGTCTGCTTCAGATTTGGAACTTGTGATTCTTTATCCTCACTTATTATTGTTGTTGCTCTCTCCATCATATATGGAAGCTGCTACAAAATTACATATCTTCAATCTCTATTTTTGATATCTGTCTTGCTCTTTCAAAACCCTTCACTCTCTAGTTAACTCTTGCCTTGATACAGATTGAGAAGCTGTGTTTTTCAGAACCCAGGTGAAAAAAAAATCAATTAGTTTCTTATGAATTCGATGAATTTTGTTACCAATTTGTGATCATATGGAAAGAATCCAATTTCCCATTTTTGTTCTTGTTTTCTTGATTGGATTTAAATATTCCAATTTGGGAACAGTAACAAATTATTATTTTTCTTTTCTTTTCTGAAATTTCTGCAGTTGTTGTCTGTTGTTCTTGTTTTTCAGAGTCAGAAGGATGAAGAAAGTGGGTGGTTAAGATGTCATGGAAACAAGTGGCTATTATTTAAGTGAAAAAAAAGGATCCACTGTTCAAATGTGAAAAGGATATATTTATACATATACAAATATGTGTGTATATATATAGTTGTGTGTGCAGAATCTGCAGATGATGTCAGAATACGCTATGGGGTCATAGCTGAAAAACCCCATATGTTTCTCATGTGAATCACCCTGAATTTATGATCCATCTTGATTTAGAAAAGAAATATATATATATATATATATATTGATCTTTTTAGAGGTGTGATAGGTGATTATTGATCTGGGTTTTTAGTGAAAAGAATGAAAGTTTTAGAATAATCAGAACAACAATAGGGAAGAAAAGCTTTCAATTCTATTGAATTTGGTGTTGATGGAAGCTCCGGCGAGGCAGCAGAGCTTCCGTAGGAAGAAGATTGTGAAGCAGCTGACCGGAAAACGAGACGACACACCGTTGCATTCAGCTGCAAGGGCGGGGAATTTGGAAGTTGCTTTGGAAATACTCACTAATAGTGGTGAGGAAGAGTTGAAGGAATTGTTGTCCAAGCAAAACCGATCCGGCGAAACTGCCCTCTATGTTGCTGCTGAATATGGTTATGTTGATTTGGTGAAGGAGATGATACAGTTTCACGATATCGGGTCGGCTGGAATCAAAGCTACAAATCATTATGATGCCTTTCACATTGCTGCCAAGCAAGGGGATTTGGGTAAGTCTCTATACAACATCTGTTTCTATTTTTGTCATCGGTATAGAGTACAGTTTTTTTGTATAGAGTATAGTTGTCAGAAATGAAACTCTTTAGAACATGTTGAAGAACTAACACAAGTCAACATTCATTTCAAGATTTTATAAAATATTTGGGAATTTTTAGAAGGATTGTGATTTTTGTGAAAACTCCTGTGAGATTCATTTGATGGTATTGGGAAGTGCAGGATATGATTGCTGCTTCTCTTCCTAACTTCTTACCAGTCATTCCAAATATATCTGTGATCCTTGAGGTTGAAAGTTTATGGTAAAATTTATTTAATGATGTTTACAGAGATATTGAAGGTCCTCATGGAGGCGTTTCATGAACTTTCAATGACGTCGGATCAAACAAACACCACAGCATTGCATACAGCTGCTACACAAGGCCATGTTGAAGTGGTGAATTTCCTCTTGGAGAAAAACAGCAACCTAGCAACCATAGCAAAAAGCAACTCAAAAACTGCTCTGCATTCTTCTGCAAGGAATGGGCATTTGGATGTTGTAAGGGCCCTTTTGAGCAAAGAATTAGGAATAGCAACGAGGATAGATAGGAAGGGGCAAACAGCTCTTCATATGGCAGTTAAGGGGCAGAGTATTGAGGTGGTTGATGAGCTTATTGAGTCAGATGCTGCTCTAATTAACATGGTTGACAGCAAGGGCAACACTGCACTCCATATAGCAGCCCGGAAGGGTCGTGCACCGGTAAATAAAGTTTTTTTTTTTTTTTTTTCCCCCTATATTTTCAATCTGGTTACCGTAAAGAACTCCTAGTTTGCCCAACAAATGGAAGATACACTTTTCTAGTGGGTATTGAAATTTACTCTTTAAGTAAGAAGTCACTTGCATATGACACTATGTAAACATGGATTGGGACCTTTTCCACATGAATTAATAATAGCTAGATTATGGTTGCATCAATGTGGGATTTCTTTAATTTGACTGCTTTCATGTCAACTTAGATATTTTGTTTCATGTTAAGGAATCTGCCTTTCATTCTGCAACTTTTCATTGTATCTGTCTCGCTGTGGCATTTTATTTTTCTAAAAATTGTTGTCTCATACCTATGTTTAAGGATTAAAGCACTGGATTCTTATTTTGGCGAAATAAATCGAATGGAATTTTTTTTAGCTTTTTTCTGATGTCAAGAACACACTTAGAATATCACGTCTCAGGATAATTGCAGGCAACTGAGAACAGTTTATGTCCCTTGTTCTGTTCTAACCTTTCAAATAATTGTATGGGAACTCGCACTAAAGATTTTTGTATGTGAGTTCTGTTCAAATTTAAGATGATTATCAAAATACTAATTGTTCTTGTAATTGTTTCTCTGATCATGTATGAAAGTGTGAATCAAGTTTAGTATTCTCTCATGATTGTAATATTTTTAATAGCATATATCTTTTACCAGTACTAGGTGCATATGAACATATTCAAATGTAATATATAAACAGCTATTTAGAGATGCATCACAAGGGAAAACTAAAAAATTAATACACTCTGAAATGTCAGGGTAAATTGATTACTAGCTTTCAATCTAAGCCAATTTCTGTTAATTACGACTTCACCATTATTTAATAGACTATAGATAAGAGGCTATTGTTTGGTGCAACGGGAAAAGTTCAGGCTTCAAGTCTGAGGGCAGTCACTTTGATAAAAGGTTTCTGTGTGCAATACACGGAGTCTTAGAATCTGAAGCAAAAGCAAATGGTTTCCTTCAAAAAGTGTTCTTGCTACTTTTTCGTCCAAAATTACCTTCACCCTTTCAAATTCCTTGAATATTTTTTATCCTGATTTTCCCCTGTAGAAGAGTTGTTTCTATCAATGTGCACGGCATACCAACTCAGTAATGCATATAGTGTAATACTATCTGTTCTGTCACTATTCTGGAATACGGGAAGTATTGGGTAAGAGGGTTTCCCCAGATCCTACATATGCATACATTTTCAGGATCAGGAAAAGTCCTGCATTTTGAGCAACTCCATTCTTTGTATTGTATGCCTTACAAGTTCAACAAGTCCAGCATTGTCTGATAAGTCATGCATACTAGATTCTGCATATGCACACATTTTAGGATCAGGAAGCCAGTGCAATATGAATGAGTCCAATTTTTCTGTTAGAATGCAATGGAGTTAGTATATCCATATATATAGAATTAGAGTTGCATATTACAAAGTCCAACTTCCTTAATATAAGTGTCATGCTATTCTGCAGATTGTTCGGGCACTACTTACTCACAATGGGATCAATAAAGAAGCCATTAACAAATCCGGAGAAACTGCTCTTGACACTGCTGAAAAAACTGGACACCCAGAGGTTGCAACTATTCTACAGGAGCATGGAGTCCAGAGTGCAAAATCCCTGAAGCCACAACCGACAAATCCTGCCAGGGAACTGAAACAAACAGTAAGTGACATAAAGCATGAGGTTCACAACCAGCTTGAGCACACACGCCGAACACGAAAGAGTGTCCGAGGTATAGCCAAGCAGGTCAACAAAATGCATGAGGAAGGGCTAAACAATGCCATCACCTCCACCACAGTTGTTTCCGTTCTCATAGCCACCGTTACTTTCGCTGCAATTTTTACTGTCCCTGGCCAGTATGTTGACGACCCTAATAATGTTCCACCTGGACTGTCTGTCGGAGAAGCAAACATTGCTCCAAATCCCTCTTTTATGGTTTTTTTCATATCCGACTCACTTGCACTCTTCATATCTTTGGCTGTTGTGGTGGTTCAGACATCGGTTGTAGCTGTAGAGAGAAAGGCAAAGAAGCAAATGATGGCAGTTATTAACAAGCTAATGTGGTTGGCTTGTGTGTTTGTGGCAGTTGCTTTTCTTTCACTATCGTATATCATTGTGGGAGGTCATGAGAAGTGGTTGGCAGTTGGAGTGACAGTTATAGGGACAGTGATCTTGGTTACGACATTGGGGATATTATGCTATTGGGTAATTATGCACCGGATTGAGGATTCGAATTTGAGTCGCATTCGCAGGTCGGCAAGGAGTAGCAAGTCGCAGTCGGGGTCTATGTCAGTGAGGTCAGAGTCAGAGGTAGAGAATGACTATAAGAAATTCTATGCAATTTGAGTTTGAAATGCCATGCATCCTTTTTCCCCCTCAATTGGCATTTCTGATTTCTTCCCTTTTAACTTGTTAATAGTTTCTCCCTTTGCATGTATATACCAATGTAATATATAACATCATCCTTTCCACTTCTATTAAATAAAGTAGCTAGTAATTGCTGTCCCAGGAAGATGAACTGTGTAAGAGTGTGATAAATAGCAGAGAATCATAATCTCTGTCTAAAATGTAGCGATTTTTCATGGCTATCTGGATTTTAACATGTGATTCTCAGTATATTTGAAGTCTATATGATTCGCGTATTAGTTAAATTTATATAAGTCCTTTCTTCAGTCCTTCAACACTATCAGGAAGCACTTTCCTTAGTCCCAAAAATTGCTCTCACCCTTCCAAGAGTTCAAATTATCCCAATTGAGCAAGATATAGCAATCCCAGATAGCTTATATTGGCCTGTTTTCAGTATCCAAGTTTGGTATGGCATGTAGCTATTCCTATTGACCTCTAATCCACCCAACCAAACATAGGCTGCTTGACTATATTCATGGCAGAGGGTGTCAAAAAGAGCAAAAGGTGGGTACCCAAATGAATACAATTGATTAGCTCATGATGTTTGCAATCATGAATCATGACAACTCAACCACAATTCATTGTAATTTATGCGTTGTTCATATCCTAGCTCCATTTCCTAATCTGTGACATATTTGCACAAAGTGGTTACTCTCAGAATTCAAAATTTACGTACTCACACGTTACCAGACATATTTGCACAAAGTGACTACTCTCATAATTCGAATCTAGGTACTCAGGTTAACAAACCTAGCATTTAAGATCTGCAGATTTTGGAGAACACCTAGTCAGCATATTCTCTATATGGATTTTTTTTTTTTAATTTCTGGCTGCTTTTCAGTTAGTCTTTAATGTCTTTACTGCAATATATGGAGGTTAAATGCTTTAGTAATAATATGTTTATAACAATGATATTATATGATTTGAGTGACAAAAAAACAACTTGAAATTTGTGGAAGGGACAGGTTGGAAAGAGTGAACACAGGAAAGAGATGTATTTTCTCCCTTAGCTATCCTTTGGCTGATTCTATAGATGGTCACATAACTTGGGACAACATCGGAATAAAGTATAAGAAGATGACAAGTTAGTGAGAGAATTCTGACCGATATTATCTACAAGAAAATAATGTTGGTACTGACACTGCCCACATGCCCTACTAGCTGTCTGGTCCTGCCAAAGCACTTATATTCTCCAGTTAGAAGAGCATGCAACATGATTCCTTCCAAATTTTAATACTCAAAATAGTATATAATGGGTTCATCAAACAAATATATATCTATATCTATATATATGTATGTATATATTTAAGTTTGTAAGGAAGAGCATTCAATGACAAAGCAACAGGATAAATGGATTTTTTTTCTTCACTATTATGGCTTAAGTAAAAAAAGAGTCCTATTGTTATAGTGTGCATTTCTCTTATGAGTCATGACCATTTGCTGATTGATTGAGTCACTGCTGCAGATATTTGATTAATTTTACTATGAATGTCAAAACATTTCTTTGTAACAATAAAATAAAATAGGTTACCCGTCAGCAAATGAAAATTCTCTATTTGTTTTGTTCTGTTAATAATTTAAGCATTGGTTCAATATTAAACAATTTCCGGTTTATTTCTTTTGGGAGGGGAGGTTAAAGGTGTTCTTTCCAAATTTCAAATTATCTTTTGATAATTTGACTGCAAAATTCAGGAAATGGTCCATGAAATAGTTACAGAAAGCTTACAGCTTTGGTTTTCACATCATTATGCAGAAAAGGTTAACCAATTTTTTTGAATAATTTAAACTCCGAAAGATGAGAAAAGGAAAGAAAAATTCTAGCTTAACATATTATAAGAACTATTATTCAATGAAGAACTTTATGATTGTGTTTATGAGTATAAATACAAGATCAATTGTACAATTCAACATCAGCGCTTATAGAACAATGAGCCCACCTGCACTGGATCTTGGATGAAATAGGGAAAAATTGGAGGAATGCTGGAGGTGAATACAAATTGTAAAATATTCCCCAGGCACTGAACATCTTGTTTCTTGGAGAAGCAATTTCGAAGACAACTAGCAATCAACATCTGGCATCGGCATTTTCCAGTAATTCCATGAATTGAAATCTTCCTGCATGGACATTGAACATCCGGACTGGCATCAAACGATTAGAAGATAGAACAAGGATCAATTGCAGTAAAGAAATTTTCATCTGTGGTGCCGTGAATTCTGCTCCTTTTTTTTCCCCCCCTCATTTCTCCTCTTTATTCTCCTTTTTATTTCGAAATAAGTAAATGTGTCCCACACGCGTTTACCTGCTCAACCAGTGCCGTTGGGGGAAACATGTCATGGACTAGAGTGTGTAAAGAAGTGTATGACTTCAAATCAACGCGATGGTTAATGGCCACCTCACCCTGTCAGTTTATATGAATTCATTAGAAAACAGGAAAACAACAATTGGATTTCCTGATGGTTGGCCTTGAAACATACTAGCATATACTAGTAGAAGATGAATACCTTAGGATTGATGATAAAGATTTTGCCCTTTGGAATACCAATCTTCCTGTAACTGAGCTCATCAGTGTCTCTATTCCCAAAACCCGCATAAAATGGATTGTAATCAGAAGGAAAGAGTGCTTTAATATCCTGCATAATATATATATTTTTTTTAGAGAAAAAAATAATAATAAAACTAACGAATACTGGAATTCTTATGTTCTATGTTCACGAAATTTGTTTGGCCTCCAGTAGTTAGTTACCTCTAAACAAGCAATCTTGAATTCGTGAGGCGCTCTTCTTATCACTGTCATAAGAAAGAATTAGAGATGATGTTTCTTCATAGAATTTAAACATAATAGTGTTAAATTAAGAAACCTTTTGGCATAACCGTGGTAAACACATATATTGAAAACCAAAAGTAAATTCTATAAAACAGTTATTACCAATTTTACTTTATGGGATGAAATATTAGGTAACTTAGAAACAGCATGTTTACAAAGAAAGTGTGCTCAAAATCTGGATGGTAACATGGATGTGTGATAGACAAAGAAATATAAATGAATAGTTAATGACTTTATGAGACAGCTGAAGCAAGCGACTAAGATTATTTGACCATGTTTAATGAATATCAGCAACCGCGTCAATAGAGAAGTTGACGTGGGAAGGGAAGAATAGAGATAGTAAGGAAAGAGAGGGTAGTGTGTGATTTAACTAAAGCTACAGCCTTGGACAGACAGATCAGAACATTAGAACATGATTCATGTAATTGAACCCAATTTCACTAATGGAGAGTCTCAAGACCAATATGCACTCAAGCTCAACATAACAAAAGTATACACATTAAATTCAAACCCATTTCTCATTCATAGGGCTTTCACATATTAGTTTATGTAAATCTATCAGATATGCATGTACAAACTCATCATTAGAGACGGATAAATGACAACAGAGTTGATTCAAAGGTAATTTAGTAGCAGTGCAAGTTTTTTCGATCTGTCTGAGATTTGTGTATTTCATCATAACTGTTTCAGCATCACTATTTCTCTTTGATATGTATTAATTGCATTAAAAAGTAAAGATCACATGATGATTGATTAACATTCAGAAAGAAATCATGATTTTTCCTTAGAAGCATAAACAACCATTAAGCATGATTATTTATACAAGCTAAAGCAATTTTTTTTTATAAGACAAGCTAAAGCAATTTAATGTAGATTAGAGGCAGCATACAACTCTCAGGGAAATAGGAACGCACCTTCTCGATACAATGAGGGAAATAGACCATCAGGTGAAATAACAACAGGTCCATTGGGTAAAGCTTTCCCATCCTGCAAGCAATTAAAGAGTTGTGTTTTAGCTCATGTTGCTCTCTTAGGATGGAAGTGACAACATCAAGACTGAAAACAAAAAACAAAAACAAAATAATGTTTATGAGCTTAGACAAACTGCGCCACTAGGGAATCATAGAGAGTGATTTTAATGACCTGTGGTTTGCAAGAAGATCACATAGACAGCTCATAAACATTGTCCCAAATGGAGCAAAATGACCTAAAACCAAACTCAATAAATGCCGATACTACCATTGATGCCACTGCATCAGAAACTACATTCCAACTCTTGCTCAATTATTAAGCTAGAAATTATTGACATAGTGGTTTCCTTATTGTTCACATCTGACAATTTGCAATCAATATAAAAAAAAAATACGCCCATTCTAATTATGTTACTAAAAATATCAAAGAACGGTGGATGTTAATACCTGTTTGAGATTGAGTAGAAAGCTTCTAGTTAGATATGCCTGTACAATTGCACGTGCACTCAGAAACAGTAGCTGATATCCATTCTCCTGCATTAAAGAAGAATTTAACATACGATACCTTGTTACCGAAGCAAATTGGAATATCCAAAATAAATAAAAAATTAGTGTCCATAATAATCTGATTATTAAACTGCATCATAATTTGTTACTCACACCACTCCAAGGAAGTAGACATGTCTATAGATGGTATTTAAACATTGCCGGCAGATTACAGTATCAAAGGAAGACAACCCTATTTTAGGATGCATATGGTGGAATTGATCTGGCGAAGTAGGGGACCTTAAAGGGAAAAAGCATATCTTTGTTTGAGTGGTATCTCCTACCACGACTGAGGTCCCAGTTAAGATATGGGTGTGGTGTGTGTGTATGCATGTGTATTACTTAAAAATAAAATAGAGAAAAGAAAAGTGAATCTGTACTAGCTGTTTATGTCCTGGATAAATGTACGGACAACATACATGGACAGTTTGATGGAATATTCCACTATACAGGCTGTAAGCAGAGCGGGAATGAACAAACTGGACTGTTTAAGCAGGAGCGAACCACTCTATTAACACATCAAACTGTCAAGATCAACGATAGAGAGTGAGTTATGGATCTATGGTTACCAAATTACAGTGATATCATAAATTATCTCTAATTGGTTCTCCCTCACACTATCTCTAATTGGTGCAACTTCAATGTCCTACAATTTTTTGCTTATATATCCTTTCTTAGCTGCCAAAAATTACACTCAAGAAACCATGGCTGGCCTAGTAGTTTCTCTCTCTCTACAAGAATACATCAATCACAAAAGTGATAGAAGAATCTCCTGGATCTAGTTTTGTCTAATACCAAACAAAGAAGAAATCAATTGCAATTATAAACATTAAATTAAGTTGAATGTGATTCTGGACCTCAAAAGATTAGAAACAGGGAGGACATACCTTAATTGCAGAGAAAAGTCGAGCTACCCCAGATTGTGTCCAATCCTTTCCAACTAAGGGCATGAACTGGCCAAGAACATCGGACCTGAAACAAGCATTAACATAATGAACAAGTCATATTAATCTCTATTTGACAGGGAGTCACAAAGGCAAAGTCAAATATTAAATTAATAATATGTCGCAAGCTCACAGCCATAATATGCATTGCTGAGGAATGGTCATACTTGCTTCAAGACTCAGAAAGGCCATAGGGGTTAGGTGATGCGTCTTTTGTTTAAGTTGTAGTCCAATGAGATCTTATATAATAACGCCCTTCATGGGTAAGTCCATTTTTGGTGCTAATGAATAATGATACATGCATCATTTGATCTACACATCTTGACAAGTTACGCTACTCTAAGACTGATCTGACTGCACCTAAGGACTGGCGTAAATAGATCATCATAAGCATTAATATGGATCTACTGCTAGTCTCACAATTCAAGATGAGGTACGCTTCAGTCCAAATACCAAAACAATGATGATAATTTCAGATGAAATGGTGATTCAGAAAATGATTCATTACAGCTCCCATGCTCTTTTTTGTGTTAAGCGGGAAAAGAAAAAAGAAAGGAATAAAAAAAAGTTGAAACCTCATGCTACAGAGAGTGGCATTCTAAATATATCATCTATGAAGCCAAGAAAATACCGAACTCCAGAGTCAGAAGAGACAGGAGCCATCCCCATAGCACATAGAAAAAAAGGGGGAAAAATTATTCTACCAGTCCTCTTCCTGGAGTTTTTAAGATATATATATATATATAACTAGCTTACTACATTCCAGCTGAGGGATCTTAATCGTGATCTAAAACGAGCCTACCAGATAAGTAGCAGATTCACAATCATTCTTCCTCTGTCTACCATGGTGATTCATCTTTCTAAATATTGTATTACAGAAGCACAAAAACACTGAAGTGCTAGATTAATCTATTGGCAGTATCTTCTATTTCATCTATCATGTTGAAGTGAACATATTTAGCAGCCTAGTCCATATGAGAAAGTCATATATCTTACTTGGTGATTGTCCCATCAACATCTGAAATGACAATTCGTGCATTCCATTTCCATAAGTAAATATGAGCATCAACCTGTTGAAGGAGAAGCGGCTTAACAATCAAAATAGAAGAGAATTGAACAACTGGTAATCATCTTCAAATTGCAAGCATTAAATAGGTAGAATGAATGATGGACCTTTTGCCTTCCTAAGACCCTGGTGGAGAAACTGAAAGTCACCATATTTTGCCCTTCTTTGAGGTTCAAAGATGTTATTTGCTCGGTAGTGGGGACGTTTGTCCTTTTAAATTGCTTGTGAGGAGAATCACTGCTACCATGGGATGTTGAAGTTGGTTCTACAGGTTGGATCTGTGAGCCAGATTCAGAATCAAGAAACACCTCTTCAGTAGACAAATTACTGCTAGTATGATCTAGTGTTTTAACTCTTCTGAATGGAATTGGCCAGAGCCTCCATCTACGCCCAGAAGGAGTGGAAGTGATTCCTGAATCATCATCCCTGAGATTTGGAGTGTCATCCTGTTCCACAGGAATTGCATCTTTAGGCTCAACAGGTAAATGTAAACCATATGCAGCTACTCCGAGAACAATTGTAGCAGCTTTATCCCATGGCAAGTACCTCTCTTGGGATCTGATAACTAAGTTAGTGTTCTTAATAATAGATGCTGCAGAAAGTTTGAATTTTTCCTCAGATATGCGGTGTGCATCAAAGGCTTCAGCAGCCGCGCTCAAACCCATACCGGCATGAAGTAAGTTCCCACAAAGAGAAATCTCAAACCCTTTAAATATAAGAAAAAGGAAAAATAAGTTTTTTTTTTTTTTTTTTTTTTTTTTTTTTTTTTTAAGTAAGAACACTACAAAAGCCCAAAAACACAGCTAAAGACAAATGGAAGCCCTTACTTGTGCTTGGATCACTTTTCATCCCTTCACTGGAAGTCACGGTCTGGGGTTCCATGGTATCACTTTTGCTATGTTCATCTTCAGGAGCAGGTCTTCGTTCGCTACTTTGTACCCCTTCGACAGCTAATGCTACACTAGTCTGTTCCTCCAATTCTTGATCATTATTAACAGAATGAACAAATGTGTCATAAGAACCTGTATGTTCTGTACCTGATGCAACATTTTTGGTGACTTCAACTTCAACCTGCAAATCTGGAGAAATGCCATCACGAGGATCAGAACTGGAAGGAGATGACCCGTCATGAATTCTTGATTCGACGAGAACTCCAACTGCAGTTTCATTGGCTTCTAGAATGCTGTGAGGAGACTTCTCTTGTGAATCTTCTGCATTCTCGTGAATCCCCAACGGAAAATCCAAATCTTGGTGATCAGCATTTCCATCCAGCATGGCCAATTCCGATATCTCCAAATTGCTATGTATGGAGAACTCTCTTTCCTGGTTTACAATGTTATGACTTTCTTGAGCTAGACGAACATGTTTCCGGTCTCCTTCACAAACTTCCAACTGGAACTCTGAAGCATTACTACCTTTGTTTATGTTGCAAACACTTTCGGAAGCAATTTCATGCGTAGGTGTGCGCAAATCACTTAAGTAATCGGCAGTCCATGTGTCTTCTTCAATGCTAAACTCCGTGTTGCCTTCACAGAACTCAGTCCCTTGACCTGGACCCAAATGAAACTGAGGTATGCTTAATTGCAAGTCCTCGATATTCCTTTCTGATGAGGAGAAGGGAGCTGTCAGTATATGACCATCTATACTCACCAAAACCACCTCTGAATTAGAATTCTGTGATTCCACAAAATGCTCCACATCGTCTATATTCTCAAATCGATTAGACCCATATTCTGATAACTCAATTGAACCCTCAAGTGAGGATTCTGCATCTTGAAATTCATAGAGCCTCCTTTCACTATCAGATTCCAAACTCTCAATTCTGTCCACACTCATAGAAACACAATCATCTTGCAATTCAACCTCACCAGTACAAGAAACACTATCCTCATGTCTACAAAGATTAATATTATTCTTTTCACTATAATCATTGCTATTATAATTAATACGACTATCCTCGTGTTTAACTCCCGGACTATATGAATCCTTCAAAACCCCATTCAACTCACTGTCTTTACCAGAAACAACCTCCTTTACTAAATATGCTTCACCTGAATTATCAAGATACATATGGAAATTGGCTTCGACACCATTAACACTTATGCGGACAATTTTTTCCGCCCCTTTAAGAACACCCTGAAATTTACCAAACCTAACGTACCAAGGTGTGCTCCGAAACGTCCCATCCTGCTGCTGAACAACAATTATGTCAACAGCCCCACCAAAGGGATGAAATGGGGTGGCAACGGAGTACACACCTTGAGATAAAATGCTCCCAAATTTACCAACCACATTCATCTGTCAATCTACCAATATTCACCTCAAAAATTGGGAAATTCCACCAAACCCTATTGTGTTTTAGAATCCAATAAATTGTCAGTCAAATATCCCCAAGAAAATATCAACGGTGAGTTGTTCAATTTTTTCAGTCCCTTTTCTTGATATCTGTATGCAATTTGAAATTCAAAATAAATATTACGATCATATGCAGATAGATTGCATTTACAAAGAAACTGATAATCATGCATGGTGAACTGCGAACCATAAACATGAGTTTACATCAGGAAATTCTTCGAATGTGAAATAAGAACTACACTAAAATGAGAACTGAAGTTATAAATTGTGACAAGGAAATGAGAAATTCAAACCCTTTAATACACTTACAGATTCAAACTTTGCCAATCCCAATAAAAGATCTTTGTGCTCGAGCGATCACAGACCAAGACGGAGGAATCTGACAGCCTGAAATTTGATTCTTTCTCTTACTTGTGTCTTCTTTTTCCGTCTTTTCTCTCTATATATAGAAGAAATTTCCTGGAAACTAATGTATACATGAAATTTCCTGATAATTGTGTCACTTTCTCTCTCTAGAAGTAGAAAGCATGTGTTCCTTGTGTTGGATTTTCTTATTTTTACGTTGGCTTTGTGCCAATACACAATTCCTCATTTTAAATTTCTGTGGCATTGGGCCTTCGTCTTTGAAAGACTGGATAACAGAAAAGAAACCATTCATAAATCCCCAATTCTTAAAGTAAAAATTAGTTTAGGTTAAAAATTAAAAATATATATTTTTTATTTTATAAATAATAGAGTATACTGCTAAAAAAACTCCCTTGAATTATTATTCTTTTACAAACAACTCCCTAAACTACACAGTGAGGCCCGTTCGGATATTAATTTTCTAATATTAGTATCTAAACTCAGGGCATATCAAGATGTGTTGGGATGGCTGATATTAGTTTGGAATAGTTTATAATATATCAGATTTTTTTTTTCTCAAATTCATATCACCAAATTAGTGATATAGTGTGTTTTTGTATTGTAGCGAAAACAGATTTTTGAATTCATTAAAACAAATTTTCGTTACCAAACATTATTTCGATTTCTATCCAAAACATTCCTATAATAAAAATGGTTGTTTTAATATGGACAAAAAATATAAAGCCCAAAACACATCACATTCTAAACGGGCCATATTTTACCATTTTTCATTAAAAATTTTATTTCTTATAAATTATTTTTATTATCTTTTCTCTTATCTAAATATTAATTATACCATTTACCTTTATTTTATTATTAGTATCAAATTATTATAAAAATAAAAACATAAAGTTGTATCTAATATTTTCTAAAATGATTAACTTATTATTAAAACTTAATATTTATAAGAAAATTTATTATACTCGGTTTGAACTTTTTTACCATAAAAAATACCTTCTTTTTTATACAATATATTCATGAAAAATTAAGAAATTACTTATATTATTATAAAAAAATTACTTTAGATTTTTTATTAAATAATTAATTTCAAAAATTAAAGTTAAATTTATATAAATTTAATGGATAATATGTCATCAAATTAGTATGATTTTTTTCTCATAATTTATTTTAATAAGGAAAATAAACTAAGCATAATTCAATAATAAATGACATTATGATCATTTATTGAAAAATAACTTAGGCAATAAAGTATTTTGAAACAAAATGTGATTTTTTCTCATACTGATGTGACCAAAGTAATTTAACTTTCAGTTTTTAAGGTGGTGGAGATTAAAATTGATCAATGGATATCCTTCAAGCATGTTAGTATAGGTGATCCATAAAAAGAGCAAATAATAATAAATAAACACGATGAAAGGAGATAGTATTCTTTTTGTTACGCTGGGGCTCGAACCCCTCCTATTTTCTTTGAAAATAGAGAGATTATACCATTGAGTCAAAAGCCGTTTAAATGAACTCACTTTTTCAACTAATATATTTAATAACTAAATTAAAATATTTTATAAATTAAGATAAATAAGTCTTAAATAAAAATATTTATGGACATTGTAAGGCCCCTGAGGTTCTTCTACTACCGTCAAGTTATGTTTTTATATGTTTTAATTGTTCTATATATATTTTCACAATAAATAAAAAAATAATACTTGTCTAATTACTGACCAGTTTACTTTTCACTGAGGTGAAGTAATCACAAACATACACAAGCTGTCTAAAGAATAATAATGTCATCTTATTTATTTATTTTTATTATATTTTTACAGGAAAAAAAAATACACCAATGAAGTGTAATATGCCACCTCTCTTAATTAAGCTCCAAGTCTCCAACACCTCCTCCTACACATGACCAAACTACACGAGAGTCCCACTTTCACCTAACAAAAACAATCAGGGCATTTTCGGCATTTAAAAATGAGAAATTTAAAGGGAACTTTTTTAATCCGTCTATGCAGCTGTTGACCAAGTGAGCAACCATCAATACAAAGTCGTCCCTCTCACCGCCGCCTTCACAACCACCACCACCACCTCCTCCTCCACACCACCACTCCTACCCTCCCTCCCACTGTACCACCAAGAAAATGGCGAAACTGCCCCTCCCCCTCCTTCTCCTCTCCCTCCTCCTCTCTCTCCTCCTCTCCCCCACCACCGCCGAGATCAAAAACCTGAAAATCTCCGCCGACAACCGCCCCATGATCCTCTTCGAGAAATTTGGCTTCACCCTCACCGGCCACGTCACCATCTCCGTCTCCGACGTCTCCGTCACCTCCTCCCTCCCCAACCTGAATCCTTCCCTCCTCGGCTTCTTCCTCCTCTCTGAAGAATCCCTGATCCAAGTCCTCCTCGAGCTCCAACAAAACCCTGGCTTTTGTGTCCTCGACAGCCGCTACATCACCAAACTCTTCACCTTCCGCGATCTCTCTCTACCACCTCACCCATCCTTCAACCAGTCCTACCCCGTCAGTGCCCCCAACGAGTACAGTCTCTTCTTCGCCAATTGTGCCGCCGAAAGCCGAGTCACCATGTACGTTCGCACTGAGGTCTACAATATCGACAACGGCGTGAAGGACTACCTCCCCGCCGGCCTCACTCAACTCCCTACCATATTCTTCCTGTTCTCCATCATCTATTTCGTCTTTCTAGGGTTTTGGGCCCAAATCTGTTACAAAAACAAGAGATCCGTTCACCGGATTCACATTCTGATGGCCGGATTGCTCCTCATGAAGGCACTGAACCTGATCTGCGCCGCCGAGGATAAACACTACGTGAAGGTGACTGGTACGCCTCACGGCTGGGATGTGTTGTTTTACATCTTTCAGTTCATAAGGGTTGTGTTGTTGTTCACTGTGATTGTTTTGATCGGGACTGGTTGGTCGTTCTTGAAGCCATTTTTGCAAGAGAAAGAGAAGAAGGTATTGATGATTGTGGTTCCGCTTCAGGTCTTGGCCAATCTGGCTTCGGTCGTGATTGGCGAAACCGGGCCGTTTATCAAGGATTGGGTGACTTGGAATCAGGTGTTCTTGCTGGTTGATATTGTGTGTTGTTGTGCCATCATTTTCCCGATTGTGTGGTCGATCAGATCGTTGAGGGAAACATCGAAGACGGACGGGAAGGCCGCGAGAAACTTGGCAAAGTTGACCCTTTTCAGGCAGTTCTATATTGTGGTGATTGGGTACTTGTATTTCACGAGAATTGTGGTGTTTGCACTGAGGACCATTGCTGCATATAAGTACCAGTGGGTGAGTAATTTGGCGGAGGAGATTGCAAGCCTTGCATTCTATATGGTGATGTTTTATATGTTCAGGCCGGTGGAGAAGAATGAGTACTTTGTTCTCGATGAGGAGGAAGAAGAGGCTGCGGAGATGGCCCTCCGGGATGAGGAGTTTGAGCTTTGAAATCCTTGGGAAGAGATTGGTGATTGGTTACTTCTCTTCATGTATTTTTGTGCTCTCACTGAAAACATTGTGAGTTGTTTAAGTAGATTTTACAGAACAATACTGCCTTCTTCTTTTTTTCTTCCTTCTTTTTTCGTTATAATAACTTTGGTATTTACAGAATACTGTTTGTATTTCCTGCCGATGAATATCATGAGAATTTGTTGCTACTAATTCTATTCAACATATGTAGTTCACATTTATCTCCGGCAGTTGTTCCCCAACATATTTTTTGCTTTTGCCATCTCTTGTTTATTTCTTTGAGGATCTTTACTTTTCTGCATGATCTGTTGATTGCCTTCATAATCATAAAATTGTTGGAAAATGCATGCTTGCATATTTTTTTTTTTGTTTTCTTTTCGATGCTTGCCTAATACTTCTCATCTGGATGTAATTTCTTGTTTGAACTGTTTGTATATTGAATCAATGTTCTGAATGTAGATAAACTAAATGTTAATGCAGAAGAATTTATTCATTTATATGAGTATGCCTATAATCAAACTGAGCTTTCTTCTAGTTGTTCGAGCTCTGCTTCGTCAAATCAAATATCAGTATGAGCTCACTAGAAATAAGTGTTTGAGGTTGGCTTATTTGGTTCTCTTAGCCAATCTCGATCTCAAAACTCTACTTTGAGATCAAAATTGATTAAAAATTAGTTACGAGTCCTAACAATCACTAAGAAACAAGTCATGTTCACGAGCGTTAAGAGTAGAAATATAAAAAGAAGAGAAAGGAGAGAATTGCATAGAGGCTTGAATGATATGAATTACTCATTCATAGCTCTAGTATTTATAGATAAAATGAGCACATGCACATATTACAAGAAAGGAAACAAAATCAAATCACAACTTACTCTAAAGCATATTCTATGGCATAGTTAAATCTCTGCTATTATGGTAAGTCATACCATAAATCGTGGTATCATATATGCTATTATATGCATAGTCAATTCTCTGATATTATGGTAAGTCATATCATAAATCGTGGTATCATATATGCTAACACTCCCCCTCAAGTTGGTGCGTGGATATCTGAAACGCCCAACTTGGACAATGCATTCTCAAACACAATCTTGCTGACGCTCTTTATAAGAATGTCTGCAAGCTGCTGAGAGCTTGTGACAAATGGAGTGCAAATTTGACTAGAGATGATCTTCTCTCGAAAGAAGTGACGGTCCACCTCTATATGCTTAGTCCTGTCATGCTGAACGGGATTTGCTGCTATGCTAATGGCAAACTTGTTGTCACAGTAGAGTGAGAATGAAAGCGACACTGGAAGGCACAAGTCTGTCATCAAGGTTTTCAGCCAAAGCAACTCACCTACCCCAAGAGCCATAGCCCTATACTCTGCCTCTGCACTAGATCGAGAGACAACATCCTGCTTCTTACTGCGCCAAGTAACCACGTTACCACCAATAGTGGTATAATAACCTGAAGTAGACCTCCTATTTGAAATTGATCATGCATAATTAGCATCTGTCCAAGCCTCAACACGTAAGTGACCATAATTGGCAAACAAAATACCACGGCCTGGACACCCTTTTAAGTAGTGAAGGATCCGAATAGCTGCATCAAGGAGAGGGGCACGAGGAGAATGCATGAATTGACTCACGTCACTCACGACATAAGCAATGTCAGGTCGAGTCATGGATAAATAGATGAGCTTCCCCACAAGTCGTTGATACTGACCAATATCTGACAACAACTCCCCCTCAGAATCAGGCAACCGATGATTCTACTCAATTGGAGTATCAGCAGGACGAGCGCCAAGCTGACCAGAAGCAGAAGGCAAGTCAAGAACATACTTGCGTTAAGAGATGAAAATGCCAGTCTTGGAGTGAGCCACCTCAATACCCAAGAAGTACCGTAAGGGACCAAGATCCTTAATCTCAAACTGACGGCCAAGATAGCTCTTAAACTCATCAATTCCAGTAGTATCATCGCCGGTAAGAACAATATCATCGACATACACAATGAGAGCAACTGTCTTACCGCCTGAATGACGTAAAAACAAGGTATGATCAGCTGCACTTTGAGGGAAACCAAACTTGAGCATAGCAGTGCCAAAGCGATCAGACCAAGCTTGAGGAGACTGCTTGAGGCCATACAGAGAACGATGAAAATGACATACCATACCAGAATGAGCAGGAGAATGAAAGCTCGGAGGAGGAACCATGTACATCTCTTCTAGCAAATCACCATTGAGAAAAACATTCTTGACATCTAACTGAAATAGAGGCCAAGATCGAATTGCAGCAATGGAAAATAATACACGGATGGTATTCATCTTGGCAACAAGGGCAAAAGTCTCCTGATAATCTATGCCATAAGTCTGAGCATAACCCTTGGCAACCAATCGAGCTTTGTAACGAGCAACTGACCCATTTGGATTATGCTTAACTGTAAACACCCAACGATAACCCACATCCTTTCGTCCAATAGGAAGCGGAACCATGTCCCAAGTCTAATTTTTCTCAAGTGCTTGTAGTTCTTTTGTCATAGCATCACACCATTGAGGTTGTGCTAGTGCATCTGCAACACTAGAAGGAACAGAAACCGAGGCAACATAAACAAGAAAACTCCGATAGGAGGGTGAGAGAGCATAATCAGAAACAAAATTAGAAATAGGGTAAGTACAAGAACGTTTATCCTTTCGAAGAGCAATGGGGGCGATCATCAAGCGAAACAATAGCTTGAGAAGGCGGAGCTGGTGCCGAAGGAATAGGGCAGTCGATCGTGGGAGTAGAAGCTTGTACCTGTTGTCTCCGACTATAAACTTGTGAAAAAGGAACAATTCCCCCTGCTGGAGGGGTATCACGAGGAGGAATCATAGAAGAAGAAACAGGTAATGGTAGAGGAGTTGAAGACGGAATAAGGTGATCATCCATTATATTCAATGGGAACCATTCACTCTGAAAACCAATTGAACCACTATAGTATGGTGTATGCTTAAAGAAAGAAACATCCATGGATATAAACCGCCGATGACTGGGAGGATGGTAACACCTATAACCTTTTTGAGAGTGAGAATAGCCCAAAAACACACACTTCAAAGCCTTGGGGTCAAGCTTTGTACGAGTCTGCCCCAATTGCTGAACAAAGCACACACACCCGAAGACTCGCAGAGGAATAAAAAAAAGAGATGAATTGGGATGTAAGATTGAGAGTGGGGCTGTAAAGTTAAAAATCCTAGGAGGAGTCCTATTAATGATGTAAACAGCGGTAAGAACTGCATCTCCCCAAAATGACTGGGAAACATTCGTGCGAATGCAGATTGCTCTGGCTAAGTCAAGGATGTGGCAATTCTTTCTCTTAGAACGACCATTCTGTTGAGGAGTTTTAACATTAGCCATTTGATGCTCAATCCCAAATTCTGTACATAACCGTTGTACCTTCCTATAAATGTACTCTGTACCCTAGTCAGATCAGAATTGTTTAATGGTATGACCATATTGAGTCTGAACCATTGTCATTAAATTTTTAAAAATGGTGTATACCTCATTTTTGGTTTTCATAAGATAAACCCAAGTAACACGACTATGATCATCAATGAACAACACGAAATATCGAAATCCAAGACTAGAAGTAACTGGGCAAGGACCCCACAATTCTGAATGAACAAGATCAAAAGGTGTTAAAGCAGATTTATTACTACTAGCAGGATAATTGGAATGAACATGTTTAGCCATCTAACATGTTTCACAGGATAGGTCCGACACTGCCACGTTACAAAATAAGGAAGGAAATAAATGTTTCAAATAACCAAAAGAAATACGTCCTAAACGCATGTGCCAACGCATAAGCTGGGCTTTATTAGATGAAACAATATTAGAAAATGAAGCTGAATGTGCTTGAGGTGACAAAGGAGCATTCAACAGGTATAAACCGTCCACTTCACGCCCACTGCCAATCGTCCTTTTCGACACCAGATCCTAAAAAATACAATGAGAGGGAAAGAACGTTACACTACAATTCAATTGTTTGGTAACGCTACTAACAGAAATAAGATTTGTAGTCAACTTTGGAACATAAAGTGTATTTGACAAAGTTAATGAAGGAGTAACTGATATGTGACCTTTCCCAGCTATGGAAGATGGAGAGCCATCCGCAAGGCGGACCTTGCGTTAGCCAGAGCAGATACTATAAGATTGGAAGAGTGAGGATATACCAGTCATATTGTCTGAAGCACTAGAATCAATGATCCATGGTGTTGAAGATGTAGATACGCTATGTGCAGACGCAATAGTACTTAAGTGGGCATAAGTGGAGGTTGGCTGAGATGATGCCTCCATTTGGTTGAAGAATTGCTTGAACTTGTCCAAATCAGCTTGAGTTAAGGTAACTGTGGCAGAAGATGTAGAGGCAAGGTTGTCAGGAGTTGACAACGAGACTGGTTGTGTAACAAAATGTGCAGAGGATCGATGCTGTTGTTTCTGTTGCGGTGGACGTCCATGTAGAGCATAACAACGAGTTTGATGTGATCAATTTTTTCGCAATGGTCACATTGTCTACGTTGTTGTCCCAGTGGAGGACCGGTGGTAGTGCTTTGAACTGACTGGGATGGTGAAGTTCCTGAAAGGTTGGGAACCCGAACTGCCATAGCAGAACGATCAACCGAAGCAACGCCTAATGGATGAGTCCGACAGCTCTCGTATGATAATACATAAGGAGTATGCATCCTCAAGAGTAGGGAATGAAGATAAACCCAATAAATGAACACGAGCATGCTTAAACTCGTCGTTCAACCCGGCAAGAAACTGAAACACTCGATTCTTTTCCACAATTCCTGCATATAAAACTGCATCATCTGGATCTTTCCAAGAGTGGAAGGAATCATAATATGACATCTCCTCCCAAATAGCACGAAGCTTGGCAATGTAACCTGAAACTGTTAAGTCACCATGAGAAATCCTTGTGATATCTCGACCCAGGTGGAAAATTCGTGCATTATTCTGCCTCTGAGAATAAGTGCGTTGAACTGAATCCCAAATCTGCTTAGCAGTCTCCATAAACATATAGCCAACAGTTATGTTTGGTTGCATCGAATTGACTAGCCAAGACATAACCATAGCGTTATCTGCAAACCACTGTGGATATGTCTTCTCTGACTCAGTTGGCTCTTTCTCAGAACCAGTAATATAGCCAATCTTGCCTTTGCCACCAATGACCATTTTG